TCGTATAAGCCTTAACCGCTATCTAATATACACTTCAGATAGCGGTTATAAGGGAACCGCTATTATATCCTCTCAATTATGATCGATCATTTCAAGTTATGATCGATCAGAATCGTATTTCGCTCGAGCGAGAGTAGTGTCGCTCAAGCGAAATACAACCCGAGAATGCCAATTTTGTGCAGGGGGCGTTTTGCTCGAGCGAGAATATTGTCGCTCAAGCGAAATACATTTTAGATAGCGGTTCCACAAGAACCGCTCTTAAAAGTGCACTTCTAATAGCAGTTAACCATTAACCGCTATCTAAATTATACTTTAGATAGCGGTTAACGTGGAACCGCTATCATATCTTCTCAATTATGTTCTTTTTTTCATCAATCATAATGAAAACTTACATTAACTATTTTTTTGAATATTATGTTTTTAAATTTGCTATTAGAGAAAACCTTTCAGAATTCAAAATGTTAAATACTTTTAAATATTAAAATTAACTTTATCAAAAATTAGGAAAAAAAAATTAATCCAAAAGAGTTCAAAAATATATTATAATATTGTCAATTTTGAGTTTAATTATATTGTTCATTCTCAAAGTAGAAAAATATATTGTAATTATTTTAATTTAATAAAATATAATTTAAAATTTTAATACTAAAATTAAAAGATTAAATAATAATAAATTTAATTCTTTAAATTCAGTAGTTAGAAACTAAAATTATAGTTTCTCTATTTTAAATAATTAAAATAAATATTTAAAAATAAAAATCAAAACTAGTATTATCTTAAATTTATTAAAAGTGTAATTAAATATCTATTTTCTTAATTTTATTTGTTTCAAACTTCTCAATTCTACATTTTTGTAAGTTCTATCATTATATTATCATCCTCATCTCCTCCCATGTTCTACTTTATCTTTACAATAGTCAATATTCTTAACTAATTTATAGTTTTAATTATAATTTTTTAGTATATATTTTGAAATTAATCAATTCTAATCTATTATTTGAAAAACTAATCAATTCTAATCAATAATTTAGAAAACTAATCGATTATAATTAATTATTTGAAAAAATTATCAAATATGATCGATCATTTTGAAAATATAATCGATCAGAATCGGATTTCGCTTGAGCGAGAGTAGTCTCGCTCAAGCGAAATACACTTCGGATATCGTATAAGCCTTAACCGCTATCTAATATACACTTCGAGATAGCGGTTATAAGGGAACCGCTATTATATCCTCTCAATTATGATCGATCATTTCAAGTTATGATCGATCGGAATCATATTTCGCTCGAGCGAGAGTAGTGTCGCTCAAGCGAAATACAACCCGAGAATGCCAATTTTGTGCAGGGGCGTTTTGCTCGAGCGAGAATATTGTCGCTCAAGCGAAATACATTTTAGATAGCGGTTCCACAAGAACCGCTCTTAAAAGTGCACTTCTAATAGCAGTTAACCATTAACCGCTATCTAAATTATACTTTAGATAGCGGTTAACGTGGAACCGCTATCATATCTTCTCAATTATGTTCTTTTTTTCATCAATCATAATGAAAACTTACATTAACTATTTTTTTGAATATTATGTTTTTAAATTTGCTATTAGAGAAAACCTTTCGAATTCAAAATGTTAAATACTTTTAAATATTAAAATTAACTTTATCAAAAATTAGGAAAAAAAATTAATCCAAAAGAGTTCAAAAATGTATTATAATATTGTCAATTTTGAGTTTAATTATATTGTTCATTCTCAAAGTAAAAAAATATATTGTAACTAGTTTAATTTAATAAAATATAATTTAAATTTTTAATACTAAAATTAAAAGATTTCTGTTGCATGAGGTTTCTTCACTTAAAATATTTTGCAAAATGCCTCTACAAATGTTTTTAACAATTAAAAACAAAGTATTTTGACAAAAACTTTCTCAAATGCCTCTACAAAGTATTTTTAACAATTATATTGAGTTTAATTCTACAAATTAAAAGATTAAATAATAATAAATTTAATTATTTAAATTCAGTAGCTAGAAACTAAAATTATAGTTTCTCTGTTTTAAATAATTAAAATAAATATTTAAAAATAAAAATCAAAACTAGTATTATCTTAAATTTATTAAAAGTGTAATTAAATATCTATTTTCTTAATTTTATTTGTTTCAAACTTCTCAATTCTACATTTTTGTAAGTTCTATCATTATATTATCATCCTCATGTCCTCCCATGTTCTACTTTATCTTTACAATAGTCAATATTCTTAACTAATTTATATTTTTAATTATAATTTTTTAGTATATATTTAGAAATTAATCAATTCTAATCTATTATTTGAAAAACTAATCAATTCTAATCAATAATTTAGAAAACTAATCGATTATAATTAATTATTTGAAAAAATTATCAAATATGATCGATCATTTCGAAAATCTAATCGATCAGAATCAAATATCGCTCGAGCGATACTAGAGTCGCTCAGCGAAATACAACCCGAGAATGCCAATTTTGTGCAGGGGCGTTTCGCTCGAGCGAGAAGAGTGTCGCTCAAGCGAGATACATTTTAGATAGCGGTTACACAGGAACCGCTCTTAAAAGCTCACTTAGATAGCGGTTAACCTGGAGCCGCTATTATATCGTTTCAATTATGATCGATCAGAATGCGATTATGACCGATCAGAACTATTTTAATCGATTAAATCTCGTTTCAATCGATTAAAACAATTTCTGCACAGCGTTTTAATCGATTAAAACTTATTTTTATCAGTTAAAATAACTTGAAAAATTTTACGAGAAAATTTTGCGAGTATTTCAATCGATTGAATCGCGAAACAATCGATTAAATCAACTTAGAAGATTTTTTGTAAAGTGTTTTAATTGATATAAACGTTGTCGTATCGGTTAAAACAAATCAGTTAAAGAATCAAGAACGTTAAATTTTTTTTTATAAAAGTAATTATTATATATTTTTTTATTTTATAAAAATGATTAATAAAAGAAAATTTTATTATTTTTTTCTTTTTTTAGGTGTAAAAGTATAATTAAATAAAAGATAAATATATATACTTTTGCATTTTAATTTTCAAATATTAATTTTTTTATGAAATTAATTTTAATTAAAAAAATTAAAGTGATATATATATATATATATATATATTATTTTTAATTTATTAATATTATCAAATTTTAGCTTAATAATTAAAAAAATTACCAATAATTTAAATTTTAATATATCTATAATTTTATATAATTATTAATATAAATTTAATTCTTCTAATAATATTAACACATTTATTAAATTAAAATTCTTTACTTTAATTAATTATTTTAAATTTTTTTAACGATTTTTTTAAAATAAAAACAATAAAACTTAAAATTAATTTCTAACTAAATCTTCACATATTTATGGTTAATACTATATTATATTATTATGTTTAATTAAATTTTAAAATAAGTTCACTTTATTTTTACACTTTTATATAAAAATGACTAATATAAACTTAAAATATATATCCAACTATTAAATTATCCAAGATATTAATATAAATTTAAAATATCAATTCAGTAATTAAAATAATTTTAATTTTTTATAAATACATTGAAATACATTTTTATTAACATACAAGTAATATATATATATATATATATATATATATATATATATATATATATATATATATATATAAAAGAGACTAAATTAATAATTAATTTAATTATTGATTTAGTGACCGATTCAGTGACCGATTCGGTGACTAATTTAATAATCAATTTTAATTTTTTTATTCACATGCTAAATTAAAAAATAAAATTAAATAATTATATTACTAAATTATTTAATAAGTTAGTAAACTATTTTTTTAAAATTTTTATAATGTTATTAACAATGTTATCACTTATTTTAAATTATTAAGTAGATTTATATTTAAAATATTTTAAATAAAATATTTATATAAATGAAAAATAGTTATCAATTTAAAAATTATTTTTTTAGTGACTGAAAATTTAGTCACTAAATCGAGTTACAAAATATAAAAAAATTCAATCACCACTTTCGGTCACTATTAACCATTTTTCTAGTAGTGACTGAATCAGTGACCGATATCTCGTGATCGAAATTTTAGTCACTAAATCGATCATTAAATATAAAAAGGGAAATCGATCATCGATTCGATTATTATCGATGACTGAATTTTTCAGATCACTAATTGCGGTCACTATTTGGTGTTTTTCTTGTAGTGCGTGACGATCGCGATAGAGGAATGAATTCTTATATTAATTTATTTTTTTGTTGGTTTTTTATTTTATTTTTCTTCTCACTTTTCTTTTTATTTTTTGGATTTTTCTAGATGTTTAATGAATGTTCAATAATAAAAATAATTCATTGAAGATATTTATATATTATCACGAGATCTTATATGGTTTCAACTTAAATAAAGATATATAACACTAATTTCAATCACGTATTAAACATCTAACTGCTCCAATTTAATTAAAAAGAAACGTTCGAACTATTAATAAATCGCAATAATAACATCAATAATGCAGATAAAAAATCTACACATTAAGCTTAAAAGAAATATAAAAACTTTTTTACGTTACTATAATTTAAAAATGTCACCACCTAAAAAATGTTTTTTTTTTTCTTTTTTTAAGTCTTGTACAAATTTCGATCATATGAAAACATAAGCTAACTTAACAATCAACATACAATTGTCTTTGTTTATTACACACCATAAAAGGAATTATTTTATTAAAAAAAAAATAGCATGAAAACCAAAGTTTACACCAACTTACGTCTAACTGAGTGTTAGACCCATTGAAAAAATATTATACAAGTAAACTACTAATTATATACAGTAGCAGCAGTGGCTGTTCACCTCCACTCATAGAAGGAACTTTCACAAGCAATTTGAAATGAAGAATGACCCCAATTGACTCCCAATAAAGATGACTCCTAGCTGATTAAAGTCTGCAGTCTCTGAATGTATTTGGTGTGATCAGATGAATCAAATAATCTAATTTGTAATTGCCCTTTTAGCCTCATTGAGGCACTCATCCCTTTCATTCAGCCAGAGATCAGCAAAATCACAATTCCTCCAAGCTTCAAACCATGGCCCCCCACGAGTATAATGAACAGCCTTAGGGAAAGTACTAGGGTCATTCTCAACAACCTTGTTATGCCCCTCAAGGAAGTTCCAAACAAATGGGATGGACCCAATTTCATCATCTTGGAGCCACTGAAACCTGTGAAGGAAAGCACCGGTTTGTGAGTTCACAGTGTCAGGAGTTAGAACACGGTTCTTGGGATGACCACAATTGTACAACACCATGGAAGACCAATTCTTTCTGGGGTACACAGTTTGCACTGCCCCATCCATTTTTGTGGTCTCCTTTGGTGCATAGTCGTGTTGCACACACATCACAGCATACTTGTCATCGATCAAATCTCTCAGCTCCTTGATATCTGCCAGGTAGAGGAAGTCACAGTCCACAAACATTGCCCAATCCTCATAGTCGGCCAAATTGGGAGTCAAGAATCTCGAAAAGGAGAATTCGGTGCTCTCGTATTGGTCCTTTTCACGCCAATACAAGCCACGTTGTCTCAGATCTGATTGCTTGATCGGTATGATCTCAACGGGGATCGAAGATTTCTTCAAGATGGAATGGCGACAAACCTCATAAGCAATGTCTTCACGTGGATCATACCCCACAAAAATTCTGAAGGGTTTCACCCCCCCGTTCTCTCCGTTTGTCAAACTCATCATCTCACAACACAGTTGAATGTTTTTGCCTGTTCAAACCCCAACAACGATAAAATGATCAAAATCAAACACTTAATCTTGAAAAAAACATCAAAATGACAATTTCCCAGGCAAACTATAGAAAATATAAGCTAAACATGTGCGTTTCCAATTGTGGAAAAGTAGAAACTGCATGTCACACGTATCCAGATAAAAATGAGCATAAAAGTAAATATAGAAAAAAAATCTAAAGTAAAATAAAGTAAGGCGAAACAAGAAAATGAAATGTATGAGAAGAAGACGCACTTGGGTTTAGAAGAGGAATGAAGCAATGATGGGGGCGTTATGAAAAAGAAGAAGGAAGAAAAGGAAGTTGTTCTGTGCTTGTTTATGGGTCGAATAACCAAGTTATATAGGGAGAGAATTTAGTTTGACGTTGTAGCGAGGATTTAGGTATCTCATGCATGGTCGAGAGAGCATGGTTCACGGACAATAAATTTAGAGGAAAGTGTTAACATAAAGCATAGGTGGGGGCGATGTAAATCCCTGGCAATCGGCGAGACCAATGGTTATCTTATCTCGCCTGCACTACCTACAACATATTCAGTTGTTGTGTTTTTCTTTGACTAGTGATATATATTGACACCATTATTCATTTTAAATATTTAAATAACAATTCATCTTAATAATAAAATAATAATAAAGATATAAATATAATTTTTTATTATTATAAAATTAATAAAAGTAATTTTCATTAGGTTATTTGTATAATGTAATTAAATTGTCAATCTTGCATTTGTTTTTCTTGGATAAGCCTTTCAATGACATGTTGAATATATTGAATATACAGATTTTAGTTTTAGAAAATTAATGTTGAAAAGTTAAACATCAGTAGAGTAGTTCAAAATCAAATAAATTCTACAATAAAATCGAAAACTGATAAAAGAAATAAAATTTAATTATTCTTTTTTCTTGGATTAAAATTTTTAAAATCAAAATATTCAATTTGATTTTTAATTTATAGTTTAAATCCAACTCAACCAAAATTATAATATATATTATTGAAATAAAAACATAAAATAATATCTTCTATAAGTGAAATAATTATTATAATTTAGAATATATTATTATTTTTAAATTAAATATAGAAATATAGAGAATCGAATTAAAACTATAAATATCATAATTAATTCATATAGTATTTTTATAATATATATTTTATTAAATAATTATTTTATTATAATATATTTAATAAATTTATAACAAAAAAATTGAAAAAACCATCCAAATAAATTGTAAAATATTTGTTTTTTTTTAAATTGAACCAAATCATATTTAAATTTTATAATTTGTTTAATTTAAGTATTTTTTTTAGAGCAAAATGGAACGATAATCATATTAAGAAGAAGTAACCTGATAATCATTCAATACATATGCAACTATTGTCATCACAGTAATGAATTTTATTCTAAATTATTATAATTACAACGAGAAAGCCGCTCAACGAACTATCCATCTCACATTAGGAGGATTAATAGTTTTAGGCATATTGTGTCTTTTGTATTTAATCCATTAATTTAATAGGTCAAAAATCACATAGGACAGGTTGACCTAGTGGTTATTTTTAAAAAATAATTATATATTAAAATTAAAATAAAAAATTATAATTAAAAATATACTTTTTTATATTATAATTTAAATGATAAATAATAATAAATTAAAAATAAATATTAATTATAATAAATATTTTAATACACTGATATAATATTTTTTAATTAATTTAATTTAAAATATTAATTTAAATTAAAAATAAATTTAGAGTATTTATTTATAGTAATAAAATTCAAGAGAAATAATACGTTTTTTATATAAAAAAATTAAATTATATTTTATTTATGAATTCTGTTTATTACTTCACTAAATGCACTCGAAGACTCATGATAGCACAATATTTCTAATACCATTTAATGTTAGTAAAAGTTTGTTAAAAATACATACCTATAAGTAAAAACTAGGAAATACAAATCAAAACCATCTAGTATTATAATTTAATGGCTTTTTTACCAAACTGAACTAAAAAAAATTTGATTATATAAAAGGGTTCGAAAATTTATTCTCAAAATAGGTTACATTGTCCCAGGTGAAACTAATTTTTATGATGAAATCGTATTTAAAAACACACTTTAAAAATTGTGTTTATATATAAATGTTATTATACTCCACTCCTTTAAAAATTTCTTATAATTTTTTTTAAAATAGGATTTTTTAAAATATATTATTTATTAAATAATTATTTTTAATTTAATTATTAATTTAATAAAAAACAAAAATATTTAGACAAATATAATTAAATTTAATTTATTATATTTATATTAAAATATTATATTATTTAAAAAAAATATAATTTATTATTAAAATGAACAATTTACACGATTATGTTATTTATTTAAAAAAAAATATTTTTATTTATTTATTTTTAATTTTTTACATTTATTTTATTTTGATAAAAGATAAGAAGTCCTACAACTAAGATTCAAAATAAAATAAATATACAAGTTAAAAAAAATATTTCTTTCGTCGAAATAAAAAAACATAATATAAACTATCAATTTCGACAATAAATTTATATATTTTTTTAAATAATATAATATTTTAATATAAATAGAATGAATTAATTATATTTATTTAAATTTTGTTATTTTTATTAAATTAATAATTCAATTAAAAATAATTATTTAATAATTAATAAATTTAGAAAAAAATTCATTTAAAAAAAAAATTTTGTGCTACCTAGCATGTAAAAAAAAATCGTCTTTGAAATTACAATATCTTTCTTAAAATGGTCTTTATCTAACATTATTTATCTTATTTAAAAAAAAATTAAATTTTCGATCCGTTTAATAAAATTAATTTTTTAATCCAAAATGATAAAAAATGCCTAATTTAATAGATATTAATTATTAACACGAAAACTCTATCATTAATATTTTTTAAATATACTCTCAATTTAGTGTGGAAGTAAAAGATAACATGACCATAAACAAGTAAAAAAATTATATATATATATATAAAATTTATTCGTTGATATGGTTGGCGGGAAACACTTACTTAACGTGCTGTCAACGCAAACTGCGATCCAAATATTTACTCGTATCACCGCTACCTCGCTTCTGTTGGCTCTGATTTTTGTGGCCGTAACCACCAGGCGCCGCCTTGGCAGCAGCCTCCGTCCGCCGCCGGTATGACTATATTCTCCTCTCGTTTGTTATCTATTTGAATTCGCAGAGAGAAAGGAATTGAGTCTCGAAAACAGACTAAAGCGCTTCTTCATTCTTAGTTCTCCCTGCGATCGATTCAGTCATGAATATATCCCTCAGAGACACAACAACTTCAACACCTTCGCATGTCACGTTCTCCGGTACTAATGTTTGATAGTTCCCGAAACTGATTTGTTAATCACTATTTTATTACTGTCGCTATTCTGTTTGCTAAAATTGTAAATCGCATTTGTCGATAGCGTGGAATTGATCTCATACTATGACTCTTCTGTAATAATTTGAAGTAGAGGTTCATGCTATTGCATCTCTATTTTGCCTTTGAGATTGGTTTTAATTTAAGGAAGAAGAAAACAAGTAACAGTTCCGCCGTAGTCATTATGGAATTTCATTTTCTAGGGAGAGGGATCTGTAGCTTCTACTCCCTTTTAGATTTCGATTTTCATTCTTTGAATATGATATTCTTGCTGTCAAGTAAGGATTGATAGGAGGATGAAACGATTGGGGTTTGAGATTATTTTTGGAAAATTGTTGTTAAGAGTTAGTCTCATCAGATTGATCCTAAGATCTGGTATAATGTGTGGACTCTGGCACCTAGAATCTCCATTAATTGTGGAAATTCTGCAATAATGCTTCTAATTCTTATAGTTATGCTTTGAATTTTTGGCTTGCAATTTTAACCATGTACTCATTGATGACAGCTTGAAAATGCATTCTCTTCTTAACTTGTTTAGTTTGGAATGAAGCCATTATTACGTACTGTCGTAGGTACAACTGGAATCTGTTTGATGAGAAATGCTTGGAAAGAGGACCAACATCCATCATTCATCAATTTTATCTCCACTTTCCTCTCTGCAAATTCTTTTCGCCTAAACTTTGTCCCAATTGCCCCGGTGATTAGCAGTTTTGTGTTTCTATTCCTGTTCTTTTCTCGTTCCTTTCAAATACCATTTCAACTCTGAAATTTGAGGTCTATCCTTGTAGGACTTTATATTCAATTGTGGGGGTTTATCTGTAGCCTTCATTTTTGTGTCAAACTGGGACTGCAATAATGTTGCTCCAATCTTCAACAGGTAACTAAGTTTCTGTTATGAAGTCAATGCCTACCTTTGAGTGGTTCTACTGATTTAAGGATTATGATTTTAATGTCGGATTCTAATTCTCCCATGCAGAGTCAAGGAACTGAAGATGCAATTTGCACGGTTTTATGTCGTCATCGCACTCCCAGCAAAAGAGCAAATGAATTCATTTATTCAGTCATATTTCACGTGAGTTTTATTACTTGTGTTCTGATTGATATGGTTTGCTGTGTATGACTTGAACAATGGAAGAACAAGGATCATGGTTATGGATGTGTGTGAAGATTTGGCATGGTGATTGGCAAGCCTACATTTGTGCCAGTTCAGGACTTGGAGATGGGGTTTGAAAAGATGGTGAAAATAGCTCATTCTTCTGGAGGTAGAACCAGAAACTTCAAACTATAATGTGCTGTTCGAATTTATGTTTCTCGTTTTCCTACTAATTGCAGTATACAAGCAAGAAAGAATTGGAGAAAAATTGAAAGAGGAGGTCAGTTGGTTGATTCTACATTCATACACTGTAATTGTGCTTGGAGTCCCTTCAGAAATGAAAAATAATATTGATGTACGAATTTTGATATGGATTTTGAAGAGGAAGCAGTTAGTGCAAAGAATGGACTTTTACCTTAAGGTGGTTACATCCATCCCAGGCATTGACAATCACGATGCAAATGCGGTAAATTCCTTTATTATTTGGCAACTACTATTCAATTTACTTTTCCTATTTTTTCGTTTGTTCACCCAAGTTGCAAAATCCCAGAATTCTTTATCATACAGATGTTTAAAACTCGTTAGGGTACAACAGCCATACATATACGTATTAGGAACAAGACAATAATAAAGGAAAGAATAAAGGAGAGAAAAATAAACGACACAAGAATTTTAACGTAGTTCGGCTAAAATATGTATGCCTACGTCCACGACTACACTAGGAAGTATTTTTATTTCTGTGTATATCTCAAACTTTACATAGGGTTGCTTATATAACAAAATAGAGAATCTCATCTCACAATCCTAATCGATGTGGGACTAAATCAAGCACCATAATACTAACAATTCTCCCACTTGGAGTTTGATTTACGTTACCACCTAGTGTAGTGCCTTCATCATCAATTTGCTCGAAGGCCAGTTGAGGCAATGCAAAGCCTCAACTTAGTTGTTGTAACGAGTCTTGGTCAACATATCGACGGGATTCTCTGCACCTGGAATCTTCAACAAACTCAAGTCTCCATCATTTATCGGGTTTCGATAAAATGATACTTCAATTCAATGTGCTTACATCTCGGAATGAAGGATTGGATTTTTAGCAAGACAAATAGCACTTTGACTTGTCACTAAACAACGGAGAACCATCTTGTTCTCTTCCTAATTCTTTTAGAAGGTTCTTCAACCATATCATCTCCTTCGCTGCTTCGAGATAGCTACATACTCGCTTCGGTGGTTGAGAGAGAGACCCTTCCTTGAAGTTTAGACTTCCAACTGATAGCTGTACCACCCAATGTAAAAATATAACCTGTTGTGCTCTTTCTACCGTCAAGATCACCTCCCAAGTCTGCATCGGAAAACCCCTGTAAAATGAGATTACTTCTCTTGAAAGACAAATGCATCTTTGAAGTGCCTTTCAAATATCCGAATATCCACTTCACTCCTTCCCAATGCTCCTTTCCGGGATTTGATAGAAATCTGCTCACAACTCCCACTTGCATGTGCTATGTGCAGTCCGGTGCAAACCATAGCATACATCAAGCTTCCTACTGCAGATGCATATGGCACTTTAGACATGTGACTTTCTTCTTCTTCTGTTTGAGAAGATTGCCTCTTTGAAAACTTTAAGTGAGTTCCCAAAGGTGTATTCCTGGTTTTAGCATTCCCAACATTGAATCTGCTAAGCAATTTTTCTATATATTTTTCTTGAGATAAGTTCAAAATACCTTTATCTCTATCTCGGGAGATTCTCATACCAAGAATTTGCTTGGCTGGACCAAGATCCTTCATTTCAAAGCTCTCCGACAATTGTTTCTTCAACTTGTCAATTTACGCCATATTAGCTCCAACAATCAACATGTCGTCAACATATAAGGCAAGAATGATATAGCTATCAACATATTTCTTCACATAACAACAGTGATCTTCTTCACATCTGCGAAATCCCGAGTTTCTCATAAACTCATTAAACTTCTTGTACCATTGTCTCGGCGCTTGTTTTAATCCGTACAAACTTTTATGAAGCTTGCATACAAGATTTTCTCCGCCTTGTACTTCAAAACCTTTTGGTCGTGTCATAAAAATTTCCTCTTCAAGATCCCCATGTAAGAATGAAGTTTTGACATCTAAGCTGCTCCAAATGAAGATTTTACTGCAGCTACTATACTCAAGATAACTCGATGGTAGTCATCTTGACAACAGGAGAGAAAATTTACGTGAAGTCAATTCCTTGTCTTTGTTGGAACCCTTTCACTACGAGTCTAGCCTTATATCTTTTGCTGCCATCCGGTTCTTCTTTCAACCTATAGACCCACCTGTTTTGCAAAACTTTCTTTCCTTCTCGGTAGCTTGGTTAAAGACCATGTTTTATTCTTACGAAGGGACTTTATCTCATCTTCCATTGCTAGCTCCCACTTAATAGATTCATCTCCTCGCATAGCCTCGACAAAATGCTCCGGCTCACCGACATCGATCAACAACAAATAATGCAATGAAGGGGAATACCTTTGTGGTGCTACAATTGTTACGCTAGATCTTCTAACCAAGATTTCGGGAGTTCGCTGACTCTACTATTTGTTCGGGTTACGTCTCGAGGCTCGACATAGGCTCTACTTGTATATTACGCCTTCGGTTGACTACATCACTTTCACGAAATTTCTTCTAATGATACTTGCTCTAGTTGTTTATTTACATTTGCGGATTCTGCAATCCTGTCTCTATAAAACATGTTTTCATTAAAAGTAACATTTCTATTTCGATAATTTTCTTGTTTTGGTCATCCCAAAACACGTAGCCAAACATGTCAGATCCATAACCAATGAAATAACAACGTTTTGCCTTAGGGTCCAATTTATCTCTACTATTAGAGTCTAACATAACATATGAAGCACAACCAAAAACTTTCGGATGTGAAAGATTTACCTCTTTTCCGGACCATACTTCTTCGGGTAACTTATAGTCTAAAGGAACTGATGGTCCTCTCGTTTATGAGATAGGCTGCTGTGCTTATTGCATCTGCCCAAAATACCTTGGGTAATCCTGACTGGATTCTCATACATCTTGCTCTCTCATTCAAGGTTACTGTTCATTCTTTACGCCACACCGTTTTGTTCTGGTGTTCCTGGAGCTGTCTTGATCATTCCGATCCCATTCTCCGAACAAAACTCCTTGAATTGACTACTTGTCATATTCTCCACCATTATCGAGACTTCAAACATTTGACCTTTAAACCTGTTTGAGTCTCAACCTCCTTTTTCCACCTTTTAAACACAGAAAACACATCGATTTATTTTTAAGAAAATAAACCCATACCTTTCTTGTAGAGTCATCAATGAAGGTTACATAATATTGTGAACCTCCAAGGGATTTCACTGAAGCTGGCCCCCAAACATCTGTATGCACTAGTTCTAGTCTTTCAACTTTAGACGACTTACTTGTTTTGGAGAAGCTAACCTTTTTACGCTTTCCAAAGATACAATGTTCGCAAGGTCCAACGTCAACATGCTTCACGTTAGGTATTTTACCTTTTGATATCATGAGCTTCATTCCTTTCTCACTCATATGCCCAAGCCTCGATGCCATAAGGAGGAATTGTTGCCAACTTACGCAGCTGATATCATATCCTCATCTGCAATCATGTAGAGAGATCCTTGCTTCTTTCCACGAGCAACAACAAGATTACCTTTCATTACCTTCCAATGTCCATCTCCAAAAGTGGTGTAATGTCCCTCATCATCCAACTGCCCTATAGATATTAAGTTTCTCTTTAAGGTTGGAATATGTCCGACATTATTCAAAGTCCACACGTTTCCATTAGAGGTTCCGATGTTAATATCACCTCTTCCTATGATATCAAGAGATTTTCCATCTCGCAAGGTAGACCTTCCCAAACTTTCCGAAACATAGTTAGATAATAGTTCTAAGGAAGGTGTAGTATGAAATGACGCACCTGAGTCCATAATCCATGAGTCAATAGAATTATCTAAACTACATAACGAGTGCATCTTCAACTTCATCGATTCGTTGCATTTGCTGATTGATCATCATCTTGCTTCTTGTTGTTGTTGTTGTCCTTCTTTGGAGCCCTACACTGATTTGAAAAGTGGCCCTTTTTCGACAATTCCAACAAGTGATATCATTCGGACTTTTGCTTGTGATCTCCCTCTCGGATTTTGATCTGCCTCGGCCTTGATTACGACCTTTACGGCGACTTCTTCCTCTAGTTTCAGTACTCAATGCTTGAACTCGAATTAGAACTGAAAGATTCTACTCGAATTTTTCTGCGAACATCTTCGCTTAAGATCAAGTCACGGATGTTATCAAGCTTCAACTTGTTATTGCTTGCAGAATTACTTACTGCAGATAACAGTTGCACCCTAACTTTCCGGTAGAGATGATAATAAAATTAATGCTTTCACCTCATCATCAAATATTATCTCGCACTGATGTCAACTGCGCAATAATTGCATTAAATTCACTAATATGATTAGTAACAGAGTTACCTTCACCCATTTTGAGGTTGACTAGCCTGCGAATCAAATGCACTTTATTGGCTGCAGAGGGCTTCTCATACATATTTGACAACGCACGCATCAAATCTACGGTTGTCTTCTCGTTCATGATGTTGAACGCAACATTCTTGGCTAATGTCGGCCGGATCACACCAAGCGTCTGCCGATCTAACAACTCCCATTCTGATTGCTCCATGTCGGTTGGCTTCTGCCTGTCAAGGGTAGATACAACTTCTTCCGATACGAGATAATCTTCCATCTCGCATCTTCCGAACCCGAAGTCATCGCCATCGAACTTCTCGATCCTCACCTTTCCTTCTTCCAATGCCATTGCTCTCACTGCTTTCGAAGAAAGCTCCCACTGCTTCTCTAAGCCGAGATTCCCAAGAAAAAAGACCAAATCTTTTCGATGTGGAAGATCGAGACAAAGCTGCAACCACGAGCATACTAAGAAAATTGGCTCTGATACCAATTGTTAGGAACAAGACAATAATAAAGGAAAGAATAAAGGAGAGAAAAATAAACGACACAAGAATTTTAACGTGGTTCGGCTAAAATATGTATGCCTACGTCCACAACTACACTAGGAAGTATTTTTATTTCTGTGTATATCTCAAACTTTACATAGGGTTGCTTATATAACAAAATAGAGAATCTCATCTCACAATCCTAATCGATGTGGGACTAAATCAAGCACCATAATACTAACAATACGCACACACATATAATATTGTGCATTCGTTTTGTATATTTACCGATAAATGCACTCATGAAAAGTTTTGAATTTGTTTCTACTGTGCTATTTATAGAGATAGAATTCCGCATGATAATATAATAATTTAGTCACGTGTGAAATCATTGTAGTGATGCATATAGGTTGATTTATTTTGTTTTTCTGATCGTTCAATTCACAGCTTAGCCAAGCTATTGGTTCTGTCCAAGCAATTGCCAAGGCGTCAAAAGAGCAAATTCTAGAGAACACAGATCTTTCTACTAACAAGGCAGAGGTGGTTTCAAGGTTTCTCAGGGACCCAAAGTTTTACTCGCGTCCCAAGATCAATTGATGGAAGAGTAATCCAGGTTGGACTTGTTTTTGCCCAAATGAAATAAGCACTCTTCTGAACTGGTTTTATATGGGATATTTGTTAATTTCTCTATCTTGTTAACTTCTGTGAATCTGTATAAATTGTAGTTCCAAATTTTATTGACTGACAACCATCATGAGTAAGACAGAACCATTTTTGGTTTGTTTTCGATGACAAAATCCAGTTGTAGGCTCTTAGTCTTAGATCTTGGTTTCAAGAAGTATTAATTAATGACAGGTGGAAGCTTTGACTAAAACACTTATAGCCCGTTAGTCTGTTCATAAGTTATAAACTGTACTTAAATATCAAGAATAGCACCCAACAAAAGGAATCAATAGGGCACATCAATGAAATGACAGCCAAAGCCCAACCTTCTTCTCTGATAGTTATATATATTATAAGAAATTGATGTGTAGACTTATTGTGGAATCACGTATGCTAATTTAGATTGAGATTTTTTGGACGCTATTTTTGTCATGTTACTATTAGTAAATATCATTATTTATGTAATTTATAATATGTTTTGTCATCTTGTAGTTTCTATTATTATTTTTAGTTAAATATGTTTATATTTCTTGTAAGGGTGTTACTTTTTAATTTATTTGATGTCTTCAAACCCAAGCTTTGACACAAGGTAATCTTGCATCTATTCTATCTCCGCGATTTCTTGTTGTCTCTAGCCCCCTTATTCAATAATAAAACAAAACTATAAAATTTCACGTTTGTCATGCTTTAAATTTGTTTAAAAAATGTGTTGCATGTTAAAGTACAACTCCTCAAACACTGGTTAACTAATTATCAAATCAATTTAACCACTTATAATTCTCTCGTCAAGTCATCTGTTCACTATTTTAATTTTAGAAACATTCAAGATTTGTTTTTTTTTTCAAAGTTATCAATTTTTTAGTTATTAATATGTTTTTGCTCTTCACTATTATAAAATTGTTAAAATTATTTTAAATTTTTGTTATAAGTTATCAATATCATCCATTTTGTTTAAAATAGTTTTTAATTAAAATTATCAAACACTTTTTAATTATTCTCCAAAATAAATTTAAAAAATAATTACTATTTTTTTTAAACTACAAAACAAAATTAATCAAACACGATCTTAAAATCTTTTATTTTGATAAAGGAAAACAGAAAAGGGTGAAAGTAACTAGACCAAAAGATTTTGAAGGAGGATGGTTGACACAAAAAAAGTAAATTTTTTTTTGGTAAGTTTTAAATTTTATACGGTATTTAACAAAACTTTTATGATTTTAATTTATTAACTTGTTTTATCTAGTTGCTATAATTCAATGATTACAAGTTATGAATCATGAACCTCTGATGTTAACCAAAGGCACAACAGAGCACTTGAGCAAATACATAATCGACAACTACCTGTTGTGACCCGCAAATACTAGTTACCATTTAGTTATTTAGTTACCTTTTTTTGGATCAGGTGTATCCATTAACCAATCAATTCAATAGACAATTGAATAATTAGGTTATATGATTATATTACATTTTAATTAGAATTAGAAAATTACAAGATGAAAAAGTACAGAGCAGTGAATGGTTGGATTATTTAAAGTCCAAAGGCTATTCTTTGCGCAAAATCTGGGCGTCTCTTGCTGGGCATTCTAACCAGTCCAGTGATCTGCAGCTCTGTGACTGCCCTACAAAAGCGTGCTCTATTGCAAACCAAAATTAAGGATTGTGACCTGATCAATAAAATGCATTGCAATTGCTGAAGCTAGGGAGATGGAAATGGGAAATGTACAAATACCAAATATAAGGGACATCATAGTGGAAATATACTTCCATTCAAGATTTTAGATTATGGCTCTTCAATATGAAGCTAGCACTACAGGATCAATTTAAATGAGAAAGACAGATATAGGCAAGAAAATATGTGAGATTGCAATAACATAAATGAAAGGTAAAAGTCCAACTTTATCCTCAATCTGAGTAGTACCCACTTTAGTCTTCAAACATGGGACATATTTCCTAAACTTACAGTGCCCACTTTAATCCGTTAGACTAGTTGTCCATCAAACAATTATATAAATTGACATGAAAATGAGAACTTTCATTTATGTTGATGGAAAATGACACGAAAGTACAGAATCGTACTACTTAGTATTATATTGGACATTATTAAAAGTTTAAGGATCACAGTACCTTTTTAAAGGATCAAAGTACACAGACAAGGTAAATTGGAGTTTTTCCTAAATGGAAAGTATAAACAAAACATTTCATAATTGTAAAGAAATCTTGAACTAGAATGGTGACTAGCAACATGTATAGATGGCAATCAAGTTAAAATGTTTCATCATTTCAAAAAGTTTAATAGCTGTACTGTTTACGCTGTCAATTAATCATAATTCATTGGTAGTACAATTTTCAAGTAAATAATATGAAAAAGTAGTTTGTAATTAGATGACAGTGTAATTTTACATTAAAAGTGTTATCTGTTTCAAATGATCCCATGTCATATAGTTTTGAAAATGTTCTATTATCTCTTCCTAAGTGAAAATGCTATGCAAATAAAAAATGATGCAGGTGTCATAATAACTTTATAACTGCTAACTAATTTGGGACATCTAGCCATGCAATTGAAGCAATACAACCTCGTGCAATCAAAAGATAATATGTGAAATGGAAAATATAAAGGATACTGAATTGATGCTTCGTTTTGGTCTGCAGATCCATTTGTATCTTTTCTCTTCTTTGGTTGGGGCGATTGCTTTGTGTTTTGTTTCCGTTTATTTTTATGTTGAAGAACAATTGTTCTGAAAGACTGGAACCAGTCATGAAGATTGATAAGATCTCCATGCTCTTGAGCCAGAGAATACCTGTAAAATACTAAAAAATATTAACATCAACTGGTAGAAGCCTACTCGTTATATTCAAGATTAAAGTATACATACAAGGAGGAACATGTTGATTTATGTCAGCTACGAAGTACCAGACAAGGCGTAGAAATATGAGTAAGAACTAAGAAGGAATAACATTGAGTGAATTAGGGAATCTTTGTACTCCCACCCTCCCAAGAAAGAAAAGTAACAACCTTTTGGCATTTAGAATGAAGAAATTGGTTATACAAAATGTTTGAGGGGATTGCCCTATACTGAAAAGTTAGTGCATGCTTTCTAAAGGGCAACCGAGTGATTGAGGCTCTCACTAGGTGGGGGTTTGGGGAGGGTATATGTATGGAACTTTAACCTTGCCAGCATGTATATTTCTAAGATTTGAACGCGTGACATCCAGTTACAGAGCAACAACAATAATATTGCGCCAAGGGTCAACCTTGGTAGGGCACACATCAAAGAGATAACTATTAAATAGATAGACATAGCTATCTGAAAAAGGCAAAGGAACACATTATCGAAAAGTTGCAAAATTGGTATGCTGTACGCAAGCACTCTACCTACTCACATTATTGATGAATCATGCCTGGATGGCAATAGGGCATTCCCACTCTTGCTGCAGCAGCTACACCTTAAAATCATATGGAAATCCAACAGGTCAACTTGAATTCTTCTTCTTGGATCTCCAATCAAAACCTATGACAAGCAAGAATTAATTAAAACTGCAAAAGAACAAAGAAAATTGAGAAGGTTTTTAAAATTTAGTGCCTTAAAGTTTATACAACCTAAATGCGTTATAGAAATCTCATATGAAGGATGCATGCAAGAATGGTATCTTATTATTTGAAGTTCATATAAATAAATATCTATACCCAACAATATGCGATGCGATAAGGAATCTCAACAAATGGAAACTCATGGGAATGGAAATAGGAATGATAATATAACCGGACCAAAAATGGTTTACCTCAAATGAAAGTTCATATTATCCAGGTTAAAAACAATATTATAAAGCTGCATTTATGAACAAACAAATTAATGCCCTAGTTCTAGTTTTAACTTGTAAGCATAAATAGGATCTAGTGACATGGAAGTCATGTAATGAACTGTGGCCATTTCATCAGTTAGTCAAAGTTGTCTTGAGCTGACTGTGTCTTAATAATTAATATCAGGCTGCAAATTAAATCCTGACTGTACTTCTGTGAATAAAGCAATGATCCATTCAGTGGAAAAGATAAGCTTTGGATGTCTTACCAATTGAAGCTTCTCAACATTCTTGAAGCATAAAATTTCGTGGAAAGGCATGCCTTCAATGGGCTTCAAAAAATTCCTGTCCCATGAAAAGAATAACCAGTAACTTTACTTAAACACAAGCAATTATGAAATGACGGTTAAATGCTTAATAATAAAGAATTTTTTGTATTTTAATTCAATGAGGCAAAAGCAACAAGTCATGCTCTTCATTTTCACTATAAATTATGTCAAGAAGTCGATGTAAAACACAATATACAAGAAGTTATCTTTATATTTAATACTTGAATACATTTATACCATTGTTCGAGGCTTGGTGGTAATAAATATCATCGAGCTAGACATATCAACTTCGAAATATAAATATTAAGGTTGATAAAATCTTGAATGATATGGGAAAGCCGAGCATGCATCAACTGTTTTCTAATCTAAGTGAGACATCGATCAAACTAATGTCACGCTTAAGTTAAATTTGGTTCGTTAAAACAAAAGGGGATGCGGGAAAATGCATAATGTAGGGAAACCAACAAATTGAGCAACTGTTTTTCTATTCCAGTTATTCAAGACCATTCAAAAGCAGTCTATTCCTTCCATTTCATATCCTTTGCATAATTCAGGCAAGCCTAATGTTTAAAAATAACTAGATTAATATATAACGCTGCATCCACCATCTCAGCTGAAGCAGAAATCAAAATACAGTTAACGATAAAAAAATAAAATAAAATAAGTAAAAAAAAAAAAAACTTACCCAACTAGCCAGTCTAAAAATGCGATTGCTTGTGAATTTAATATTCTCGCATCGTTATCAGTGCTTACTGAAATCCTGGACGCAAATCTCCTGGAATATAAATAATTGCATTAGTTATACCACAGAAAAAAAACTTCAATTTAATACCAATCTGTGCACTTTTCCATAAAATATGAATCATGGTATTTTTGTTTTCTGTTAAAAATTTGTAATTTACGAACAAGGGATGGCGTCTCAATCAAAGACAAGGAAATCCCCATAATGCGCATAACAAAGTAATTAAATTTATCATACCCGAAAAGACTAGTAGATACTTGATTACGCACTGTCAAATGCGAGTGAGTGCTTTTTGTTTACTCTAATTGGTAAGTATATTGTTTAGGGACAAAACTCAAATGCAAGGCCTCGCGTGCTTTTAGTACTTTCTTTAATTAAAATTAAAGTTTCACTGCAGTAGTCTACATTACACATAATGATTTATATTGAAGGCCAAGTTCCGAAGTTTGAAATTTCAATTGTGATTACGTAACAACACTAAAAGGAACTAAAAGACTACATCTAGATTTTGTGCATAATTTAAATCATGCGACTTTCACTTTTTATCAATGCATGGATTTCACCCTTCAAATAACGATATAGAGATTAAGATAAAATTTTGTCATTTTCTATCTGGAAAAAGTGGCTGGTCAGGTAAAGGTACCAAAATATCATTAATGAGGTATCCATCTCCCAAGCCAAGGACTCAGTCCTCTTGCCTGATTTATTTTCACCCTTGACAAAGCACAAAGTCCCTGTCGTCCATGTCCAGAAATGATAGCTACATTTTTTAATTATGATCTATAAAGAAATAACAAAGAACAAGAATTAGAATGTTACTTGGGATTGTCCTTGGAACTCTTGCGTGAACTCTTTCCGTCTTCACATCTTACTGAAGATTGCAACACTTTCAGTTTCTCGTGAATCTGCAATAAATTATTTGGTAATTATTTGCCTTGACCAGGAACAAAATTGTACAAGATATATGCATTTGCTAACTCTATGAATGCAATAAGGAACTGGCAAAATGATATGGGTAGCATATTGATAGAGTTGTCCATTCAAACAAAACAGTGAAATCAATAGTCACTAAATTAAAATAGTAACCATGCGTCATCACTAGACTAACTTGCTAATGCTATAAATATATCCAACAAATAAACCAGTCAGCTAACGTATTTACCCCGTTAAGGAAGAATTATTATCAACAAAAAAAACTTTTCTCACTCGGAGAGGTTGACAACATATATACTCGTCACAGTCATTCCATGAAAGCAACATTAACAATGAAAACACAATACCTAAATTACAGGAACCTTTGAAACAACATGAGAACTTAATAGACCATCATAAGGAAGAAAATAAAACAATCATTTGTAATATCTTATAATGCCTAAAGTATTGTCCACCTTGCCAATCCCACAAATTATATGATGAATCAATGATTTGTCTAAACACTGGCATGCCACCAGTGTTTCCAAAATTCCTAAACTAAATAGACCACGAAATTGAGCTGTGTGAGTGTTATACTTCCCTCTCAAGGCTTATAAAACATATTAAAAGTGCTTTGCGTGGTTTCCAAATCTCCTAAGAATCATTAGTAACTATCCAGCTAAGTGCCATAACCTAAAAGACCCAAATTGCAACTTATCTATTTTAGAGCACCATACATGAATTAAATCCGATTTCAAGAATGAATTTTAAATCTCAAATTTTCAAGATCAAACATCAGAGTCCAATTTCCAAGTTTTCTACCCATACAAAAATATTAAAGAAATAAGTGAAGCAAAACCAGCAGTGATCCCAACTCCAAAAAGGAATCATGTTAGATGTTTTCAATGAGCAGGGATATACAAATTGTTATCCTCCCAAAATAAATCCTTCTAAGCAAAAAAATAACATTTTGAACAAAAAATACTAATCTACATTACGATGTAATTCACTGGTCTATTAAGATATGACAGGTTCAGAATTGCATATATGTTGGGAAGTTAAAACTAATTATAGATTGTTTATCAATTACTACAACCATTAAAAGAGAGAAGTTACAAAATATCCTTCAAAGAGAAATTCATTGCAGCAGGCTAAGGTCAATGAATACACTTCTTTTTGCAGCCATTAAAAGAGAGCACAAGTAATTTCATCATCTATATGTCAACATTTAATAATGGGATCCAATTCAATTACTCCATAATATGGTCTCTGAAAGCAATAAGGGGGAGATTGATGGAAATGTTCCTGCATTCCCAAGAGATGATTTTGATGATGATTCAAGTCAACTACATTCAAGTCAACACCATTCAAGATGAATTTAAGGACAAGCTGAATTTATGACGTAGGTGATAAAGATGATGATTCAAGCAAACCCAAAATGATTCCTGAAGACTAGATAGAGTCTTAGAATACTGGATATGGAGGTCCAAGTTGATGAAGTAATATTATGCATAAGCCTCCAAAGTACAAGTGTGATAAAATTCATAACATGATATTTTTCATTGTCATAATTAATTATGATGCATCAGAAATGGAAAAATGATTTTTTCTATCATAATTAATTATACTTGGTAATATAATCAATTATGGCAATTCAAATTTGAAAAATATATCCGTTTTAAAGAATAAATGTTTTTTAATATATCCCGATTTTCTCTATGATATTATTAATGTCCAACGGTCATTTTCCGATGCTATTTTTCTATTTAATTAAGTTTTAATGAAAAAAAAAAAACACAATTACGTAATTCGAAAATACAATTTACATTCAATCAGTTTTGAGAAAAGAATTCTGAGCAAGACAACAGAGATATTTTACACCTTTTGAGAAAACCCTCTTCTCTATTGCCTTCTGTGCTTTCATTGTTAATCACACTTGTTCTTGGAGATTGACATTCTACAGGCTTCTACAATTTGTTGTCTCCATTACCCAGGTGTGTCTGTTCTTATTTTTATTACCTTCATCCCTTTTTGCATTGGTGGAAAAGGAGGTGTTTTTCATCCCTAGTGTGATTCTAGGGAGGGGTTCATCCTTAGTGGGATTCTAAGGAGGTGTTTTTCATCATTTGATTTGTTCAGAGGAGGTGTTCATCCCTAGTGGGATTCTAGGGAGGTGTTCATCCTTAGTGGGTTTCTAAGGAGGTGATTGTCTTTTTAATTAGTTTACTTTTTACTGGTTCTTCTGCTGAGTTGATTGTAATTTGTAAACTGAATTTGAAAGATAGTGAATGGGGAGTCACTCTTGTGTTAAGAGTTGACTAGGAACTGGATGTAGGGTTGACTATACCCGAACCAGTATAAATCTCTGTGTGCTCTTTTCTTTCCCTTATCTCTTTCTCTTTTCCTGGTTATATTATTGCTTCCGCTTTAACAAATTATTGACTCACAAATAAATTTTTAATTTGACATCTATTTTAATTTGTGCATCTATTCACCCCCCTCTAGATGTCATTTGTCTAACAGTCTCAACAAGGAAAATAAACATCAGAAAAATTAAGATTCACTGCAAGCATATACATTCAAGTTTAAACATACCTCTGAAATATCTGCAGTAAGTCTTTCCCAACTCTCAATCAAATGATATAGCATTCCTGTGGGAAGATCCCTGCAAAATTTTCATTTTCCAATCAACAGTGTATGTGTTTGATTGAATAGACAAATAAAGAAGGAATGAATATTTCAATTTAATCCCAATAAAATCAACATGACTTTTGTGAAATCATCATAATTTTTTGTTAGTATTTATTTCCTATTAGATTGGGGCAATAGTATACTTTATAACTTGGTCTTGCCAATAATAAGGGGTAGCTGTATGCTTTAGATGTCATCTTTCCCGTAGCAAATAGATTTTATTGCTTCCCTACGTATCCTTTCTCATTTTCTGCTTAAAAATGCTCTTAGGAGAAAATGTTTCTCTACATCAACTAGCTTATCTAGAAGAAGACATGTATGATATTCCAAACTACCTGACTTTGCGTACTATCTGGCCAATAAAACCACTGCTTTGCATGATGGAATATTGTGGACGGGGATCACTTGTCGAAGACAAACCACAATATCTTTCATCCCTCACATGATGATCAGAATCGCTTGATAGGTTCAAATCTTGATTGAGAGCTTCGCAAAACAAATCCAACAGTTGCACTCTGCCATATTTTCCAGCTTCATATAGGCACTGAAAAAAAGAAAAAAATATGGATGAACTCCAACTTAGCCATGACAACAACTAATTACCAAACAGTTTCATTGGAAAAAGTTTAGGAGATCACAACAAATACAGAATATTAAGTAGTAATTATAATGTAAAAAGCTACTTATTTAGATTTCTACTGTCATCAATAGATTATCAAAAGAGTTCTAAAAGCAATGGAATTTGACCAATTAGTGGATGGATGATGAGTCCACAGGGCCAAAAAGCAATTGCTAAATCTTACAAGAACTGTAGTGCTCCATAGCTTTTGTACTGTCACCAGTTCTGACAAACCCTCGGCCATGCTTTTTTTAGTGTGATGATCAACCATTTGATTCCTAGAGTAATGTTAACCAAGGGGTGAACTTGTTGTTCAGCAAATCTAAATTAGAACAAAAAAACTTGCAAACTGTAATACCTTGTATACAATGGAAGTTCATCTATGTATTTCAATAGAGTCCCAGGTGATAGTGCAGATTTTCCTTCCTGACAATCCATTTATAGCTAACCATTAAAATAATAAGATGACAAAGGAATAAGATGATAAGAATTATTTAAAAAGACTGACAAGAAAAGAATCTAATCAATATTGTTAAAATAGTGTTGTGAGAAAATTGCATATATCAACCGTGCATTTAAGTCTCTTATTATGGCTTGGTACAATTATCAATGGAGATGTTAATGCGGCTCGTACACTCCATAACAAGAAAGATAACTCAAATATTAGAAGAGTTTCAAGACAAACTTTCTGATCTTCAGCTATTGTTCGCCCATGTAGGAGACTTAGAGGTTCCATTGAGAAATGCAATAAGCAAGCTACCTGATGGATATAGCCACAAAATATATCACGAAAAAGATAGGTCATATACCCATTTACTTTGTAAATACTTCATTCCATGAAGATATAGATAACACTCAAACACTCAGTAACCCAAAACTGCATTATTAACCTTCAAAGCTCTAATAAAGGATGTTATTGTCCCATCCTGGTTGATGAAGTAATTTCTTAGGAAGGCTGCCACTTTATGACCAATACTAAACATGGTGCAATGTTTCACAAAAACAGCCTCAACTATTGCATCCATTCTCTCTGCAGGTGTTCCAAGCATAAAACTAGACGGACACAAGCGCTCAAGAGCATGTGATGGGAGCACGTTTCTAGGGGTATCCACTGTCGTTGCAACTCCAAATATGAGGATAATTGGCACCTTGACAACCCATTCACTGTAGAAAAAGAGGAAGAAGATGCAATTCGTTTCATCATCCAAGCAAAACTCACCATTATACATTAAAATAAGTAAAAAGATATTACAATCTTTAAATGTCAAAAAGAATACATAAGGAACATATAAGCAAGGAGGCCTCAACAGTTTTGGCAGTTTGGGACAGACCACAATAGCAAAATTTAATTCACGTAGCCAACCCCACCTAATGGGAAAAGGTTTTAATTGTTGTTATTTATACTATACATGGTGAAGCCTCGTCATAGTTGACCGAAGCAATAAAATACTCAAATAAAGTATTCAAGTTGCAAATACCAAACCACATTACAAATATACATACAACATTCTCACAAAAAGATGCGTAAACATACCTCAACATTAAGACAAAATCAGTTAAGATTGATCCAGAACATCTCCCCAAATCATTAATGATCAGCACCAGTGGTTTATTGTAGTTTACTTGTTCTCTATACCATGATGCTAAGATTGATATATCTGCTGACTGCCCACATAGGATTAAGAAAAAGAGACGGTAACGGAGAAAGTACAAATGGAATTTATCAATTTAATTATAAATAAATAAATAACTGCAAAATTGACAGAAGCACCCACGTCGATGGCACATCCTAGAAACTCTCGCAATAGAGCTTTCAAGCAACCAGCAATCCCATTTTTCAATGAAAACTCTAGTGATGAAAGTTTAGCCACATGGCATCCATGGGATTTCAAGAAATGGCCAAGCTCTTCAAATGTCAAGACATCATCAACGAACTCTATGTTTCCTGCCAATCATACATAAATCAATATCATAAATTTTTTGGAAGTACAAACTTGGCTTTCACTCCTCAAAGCATTCAGGGGATTCATAAAAAATGTGAACAAACTTACTGGTAACAACGAAAGCAGTGAACAGCTGCCCAGGAGTAGTGTTACTTAGGAGAGGAAAAGACCGAGTTGCTTCAGCAATAGTAGGTTCTCCGAGCAACTTAGTAGCGTTGCAGCACTCCAAAACCCATTGTTGTATATCATTGAATACACTGGCTTTGAGATCTCTTAAAACATCCTGCAGCAGAAAGAATCATTAATTTTCTTGGCGTATCACTTCAGGGTAAAGAATGAAAATAAATTAAATGCAACACGAATATACAGCAAACCAATAGCAGTAAGGTACAAAATCTGGTGGAGAGGATAAATAGAGGACCTTAATGGTAGATTCAATCTTTGCCCAAACAATGTCAAAAGCTTCAATCTGCAGTTGCTGAAGCAAACGGTGATCACATTCTTCCGTCCTACTTCCTCCCAGCTTCTTTGCACTTTGTGGTGATGTAGATAACTCATTTCTCTTGCACAATTTTTCTTGTGCAGTTGGTGTTCTATCTTTTCTCCGGGACGAAGCTTTATGAAGAACAAAGAATGGCTGTTGAAAGGAACTCAAATGAAGATTACATCAGCACTCAGCCCATATAAGATTGGACATAAAATCAAACAAAGACTAAAACCGACTTCTACAAATTACACTTGTTGTTCTCTGACTTTCCCCCCATATTGTAATGAATATTAACCAATAGACATCACATCATATACATTAAAAAAAAACAAAAAGCCTGGTAACAACTACCACTGCTGCAATGGATTGAAGACACCGGGCCATGATGGCAATATTTTTATACAGACCTAATTTCTATAATTACTACTCAACAATTATTATAATTTCATTCATAAACATTCATCATCTATTTGAATTAATCAAATTTTTTATACACATTTCCAATTAAAACAACAGTTTCATTTTCAATCACCAACCAAACACTAAAGTTGAAAGGACAAAAACGAAAGACAGTGCAATGTTATCATTCTCACTGATATAAAATCAGAAACCCATATAACTAACTTGAGCAGTTACAATCAAGATCAATAAGATAAATCCAAGAGAGAAAAAATACGCCACTAACCAATAAGATACACACGCCTAAGGATACTAGTAAGCATAATCGAAGACCATAACTAAATAAAATTGTCAAGTAGAACAATCAGTTTTCACTAGTGATTTAGAGTGAAGCAGTATTCGAAATTATTGGTAAAATAAAACCGTGTTAAATAGGACAATCGGTGTGACATGTTCATAATAATCAGAGAGTTACGGTAAAGGGCAAAGGAAAGGTGAGAACCTGAAGATCATTCTCTTCGACCTCGGGCATTGTTGACGGCGGCATCGAATCGGTAATACTCCGAGAAGGTGCCATCGGATAGAGATTTGAAATCTGATATGGACACACGCGCGCAGAGAGAGAGAACTCTGAAGAAGAAGAGACTAGTCGCCTCTGTTATGGCGGGAAATCACAAGGGTAATTATGGAAAGTAATATTCCACATCCTCAACCTTCCCATGATGACGTTTCTTATCTAATTTTATTGTCTGGAGGTATTTTCATTCTTAATAAAATATTAATAGAGTATAGTTTTTTTCATTCTGAGATCGATACTAAATAATATTATATATTTTAACATTGTATTATATCATAAATGAGTTATAATTAAATTCTAAGATATTTTATAATCGCAACAAAAATCATTTATGTTTGTTTAATTTTTAATTATTAAACATAACAAACATAAATAAATAGATATTAAAAATAAAATTTTGAGATTTTTAACCATAAAAAAAAGTCTAGACACTAACTCATGTTATTTATCTTATATTGTTTATATAAAGTTTTAGGTAAAAATTGTTTTTGGATGCTATAAAATATACAATACATTTCTTCAAAAAATTATATCATTTTTTGTTTCAAAAATTTAAAAGATATTTTGTTCATATTTTCTGATTATGGACAAAAAATTAATATGAACATGATACTGATATTGTGAATTTTATAACTAATATTGAATTATAATTATAATTAATAACTTTTAGAAATAAAAAAATACATATTTAATATTTTTTTAAAATTATAAAATCACAAAACGCATTTTACCCTAAAATTTAACCAAAATGTATATATTAAAAATATAAAACAGATATATTTTAATCTTAAAAAACACAATAGAAAAAAAATTTAAACAGTTGAAAAATTATAAACATACAAATATTACCAACATCATATTGATTTGTTAGTCTATTAGAAAATATAAAATCATGTCACATGGGAGTTACTTTAACAAATTCTTATGAATAAAATATATTATCTTAATGTATTCTTACATTCAAAATTGTTTTAAATAAATATGACTTGTTATTTATATAAACTATTATGACATTATTTTAGTTACTTTGATTATGATACTTACATTAAAATAATATATTTTATTTTTTAAGAATCTTTCTAAACAATTCTTATTGGAGATGATGTTCTACGATGCACACTGATAAAAATGATAAGAATAGGATCCTCTCTATCTGACTCCTGTAATAATAGACAAAGTTTTATAATATTATCATCCGCGAATGATAGAGTTATAAATAGCTTATTTATATATATCATCTTTCTGTCAACTAAAGTACAACAAAGTCTGGTAGAGATTTCAGTGAGTGTTTCCTGCGGAAACTTGCATGGAATGCATTCAACAGAAGGCTTTCATTATACTTTGATTGAGAATATATTACAAAGTTTTGGTAGAAAAGTTCATCTAGAGTTGGCTACTACCAGCTTACTCTCTACTTCAAGTACATTTTTCACTGAATCCATGTCAGCTTCACTGATGTCAGTGGCAAAAAGAATTTTTTTGCATGATTGTATTAAATACTCAAGTGTTGGATTCGGTAAACTACTATTGGAAACTATTTTGCTGGCCTCGTTCGTTAGTCCAACAATAGTATCCTTCTGAAACCGGTGAGAATTATTTTTTAATAGTTTCAACCAAGACGATTTGGAAAATGGCTGCAAGTCTTTTGGGAGATTGTTGGTCATACATGTGAGAGCAGCAATGTAGTCATCCTTCGCTAGCTTAGCAAAGAACCTCTCCTTAGTCAGAGAAGTAGGTGGAATTCGATCCATGTCGGTTAAGTGTTTCCATGTTATCTCCAAAGGCCGTTCCTAGAAACCAAGTTCCATAGGTTAACAACATGATCAAGATTCCCTCATAAATTTAAAATTTCTCACTACGTAGTTTGTATCATGAGGAGAAAGGTAGAACTAGAACTATAATAGCAGCAAGCTATACACCAGGACAATATCAAACTTCAACTATATGGTGTCAATCGATGCTTTGGTACAAGGATGCAGAAAGAGATTTTAAACCATTTGATTTTATTCATCTTCATTGGCAACCAAGCAAGTTTTTAATCCTATTTACTCCCAATTTACTATGCGTATATCCTAAATCATCGCATGCTCTGATGCAAAATGCTCTTTACATGACCACAAACATGATCATTTAAAAAAACATGAATATGTGCAAAAGGAATGGGAAGGTTACCTTTCCCGCTCTTGAAGCCTCCAATATCATTTGAAGATGCCGTTTTGGATTGAAGTGGTAACCATGGTTCAACATCCTATGATAGACATGATCAAAATAATCCCATCTCTGCTCTGAAACACATGCATCTAACATGGTGTTGAATGTGTATGTATCTGGTACCACCAGCATCTTGTAATCATTATTTTCCCTTAGACGACTTGCATTCTCTGCCATCTGCTCAAACAACGCTTTAGCTTCTTGAAACATGCCATGTTCCAAGTAAGCTTTCAGCATTATGTTACAAGTAACCAGATTTGGAGCACAAACTTCCTTCATTTTCTCAAAAATATAAGCCCCATCCTGAATATTTCCAGAGTCTAGACTTGCTTGAATCAAGCCAGTGTAGGTCACTACCAGTGGTTTATTTGCAACCTTACATATCTTGTCCATCTGTCAAAACATGAACCATTCCTTTGGTGATCAAGCTTTTTAAAAGTGTATAAATACCCTTGTATACTATAAATTATTTTCGTAATAACCAGGACCTTTTGAACTAAGAATTTATTCAACACTGAACTAAAAGTCAACAACACTGATCCAACCAATTTATGCAAAGTTAAAGAGGAGGAGGGGGAGAATTCAATGATGTAATTTGCGTGTAGTCTAGATAAAACAATATACTTTCTATTATCCAAGTAACCAAACATTGATTCATGAATGTGGATTCCACCACCTTACTTGGGAATCATCCCATTGGAGACAACTGATAAAATTATTTTTCATACAAAATCCCACGAAATTAAACTTCTATTAAACTATTTCACATGCAAGCCTTCCCAAAAGGTTTATGCTTTTCTTTTTATTAGCTATCTTATTTGGTTTGAACATTTTCACAGTCAAATTTAAGGGAGTGTAATATCATTATATTTAGTTCATGTATGGGTCAGATGGACGGTGAGACAGTTGAACAACAACTATTGCATTGTCAGTTGGCAGCTGTTCAGTTCTGTCTGCCATTGCCTTTGTAAGCTGCCTTCATGTGAGAAGGATCTGAGCTGTTAAGTCAGGAGAACTTTGGATGTGCTAGGATTATTCCCACTTGCATCAAGTGGACTTTAGGTTATGTAGCTTGAGAAAAAGAGTAAGCCATCAAATTGGTCCAATAAAGTTAAACAAATCAACCCATTAATCCTCCAAAAATTTTGGTCACCAAATTAGTCTTTCAATCTAAAATATTACAACATTAGTCTTTCGGTCTAAAATATTACCACAGTAGTCTTCCCAAACTTGTCCCCAAAGCTCGTCAAGAAATGTAATTTTTCGTTAAATTTGTCGTTTAAAAAACAAAGGATGCATTTAGTGGCATTTTAGAACTTTGAGGTAGTAATTTGGTAATGAAAATTTTGAAAGACTGACATGGTTACATTTTTATCTTTGAGGAACATTTTGTTAATCAAAATTTTTGGAAGACTAAGGTGGTGAATTGGTGATGCGTGTAACTTTTGAGGCCAACTTGAAAGGTTTACATGAAAAATGAACATGCTATTTTACCTTTTGAATACTCTTCTTTTGGCAGCATATAAGCTTTGGCTCTTAGGTAAAGGTGCTTGTATAGGCCAAAATGATATAGATTAACAATACATCATTGATCTATTCACGCATTTAAACTTTTCAGATAAAACAAAATGACATCACATCACCATGACTACCCTGTTCAAAAGGCAACAGTGGGAGAAAACAGGACTAACAAAAAAGCACCTGCTTTAGTGCCTCATGACTTCTTCCAGCCACACAGAGGCATCGAGCTAGATCATAATATAAAGAAGCAGAGCCCACAATTCCACGATTTTCCATTTCTTGGACAGCCAATATAGCTTCCTCAGTTTTTCCCTCTTTCCAAAGTGTATTTACAAGAACTGCATATAACAGGAAGGTGAAGATTATAAAGGTTAAGTGACTGGAAATTTGGTATAGATATGAAATAAATGAGAATACCTCTATATGTCAATGAATTTGGAATGTAAGACTTCTGAAGTTTTCTGAAAAACTCATGAACCAAGTTATACTTGCCACATGAAAACATCACCTGTTCAAGCATTACAAAAATTTCATAAATTATGTGCAAGCCAGCACTCATATATACATAATTGTTTCCATAGCTGTATTTGTCCATGGAAACAGAGTTTCCCACTTGCAGTATAATTCAACTCAACAAGGAGCAGGAACTTTGTCCTAAATCTTGTAAAGTTCACAAGTTTAATGGATTATAGCATTCTATTTTTTGAGCAAAATTTGAATTAACACATTGCTTGCCAGCTGCCACACAACACCTAGTAAAATTATATCCTTCCACCAACTCCATGTGCAAAAGAACAAGTGAACTACTCTTTTGAGTGGATGTATTATTTTTGGGTTTATTATTTCCTCTCCTGTGCTCTGTATGATCTTCTGCTGCTCTAGGAGATATATCTTACATCATAATATAATGTATTTTTTGCTTCTAATAGAAACTCAATATTCTTAATTTTAAAAAAAAAAAAAAAAAAAAAAAAAAGAGAAAAAAAACATCACTCTCAATTTTACTTGCCAGATTGATTAAAAATATTTGTTATGTACCATTAAGTGTGTACAATATTCAAATGTTTTATAAATCATAAGAAAACTAGAGGGAACTACTACCTCCATAACTAGGCCGTAAGTTGTGGCCGAAGGTTGTTGTCCTTGTTTCTTTAACTGCTGCAAAACCCAAAAGGCTCCTTCCCATTGTTTCTGCCTAACACAAGCATTAAGGACCTGCATGCCAAAGTGAATATATAAATATTGGACAACTAAGAAAGTTAATATAAAATGCTATTTTCAAATGCACATTAAAGTAAAGGACATGGACCATACGAAACCCAGTTACGATAGTGTACATAAAGACAGATAAATGCTCCACAAAAAACCTAAGCTATACATATATAAAATATGTAAGTATGTGAACTTTTATCATAATCACCCATTCAAGGAAGTAATTGAAGTGCTATGCAATTTTAAATACCAAAATTTATTTGGGAAAACATTAATAGGAAGATGATGGATCATCACAACCTTCTTATCGCAACCAGAAAAGATAAAAAGAAAAAGGGAAATTGGTGAAGCAAACAACTGTTGAACAACGAGAAAGTATATTATTTGGTCATAATACAAACTATTATTTTCAAAACCAACAAAGAACTAGCAATATATAAAATTGGTTCATTCATGTGTTAAAATATATATTCTATATTTAACTAAAGAAACTGACACATTACAACAAATAACTTTAACCATAAGGATATTTTTCGAATTTAATTTGTGCATTCAAAATGGTATGTCCAATCACAAAGCCAACTATTGGGCATTTACTCTTAAAACTAAATTCCTCTTTAAACAACTTACTGCATGATAGACTACAATATCTGGTTCCAGCCTTGGGTCCCAGTTCTTAAATACCCCTGTTTTGAACTTTTTCTTAGGTGGTGATCGCATTGTATCAATCACATCAAAGAGTTCCTTCATGTGCCCTGCTTGTCCAAGAGTCACAGCAATACTACGATAAGCTACTAAATCAGGATACGAGGACATCTGTTGCTGAAAGAAAAGGAAAGAGAGTTAGTGAAATTGCCCATATTTCCACATCATGTTGATTGACACATTGTAAAAACAAGGATTTTGCAGGGACTACCTGCATTGCATGAAACATATTTAGTGCCTCTACAGGTCTCCTCGACTTTCCAAGTGCATTAAGAGCAGCAGTATATATATGCCTAATGTCAAAGAGATAGAACAGAACTTTACATATCAAAAGGTTTCTTTCTGTGTGTGTCTGAAAATCGGTCTTACACCAATGAATAACATTTTTAGGATAAATATTTTGGGATCTACTATTAGATTGAAAACAGGTTCTTACAAAATCAATCAAAGTTTTCAACTCCAATGCGTGTCAAAATCAAAGTATAATATATTTCCCAACTAAACAAATACACCCACCACATATCACATATGTCTAGTTTTTTTTTTTTTTAAATTGCATAATTTGGCATTTGGTCATGGGGCATAAATATAAACATGATATTCAATGGTTGGGTACTTTAAAATCATTTTCTAAGATATCTACACAGGTGGCTAATTATTTGTTGTTAGAGTATTAGTCATACCAAGTACCACAGGACACTAAGGTACCTTAGCTTAGGGGACCTGTAACGTTCACGCTTTTGAAGCCATTCAATCACCTGTATCACTCGCCTCCAGTTTCCTAGTTTTCCCAAGATTATGATAATCCTTGTTATGGAATAGTCACAAAATTTAAGCCTAGCACTTCTGATCATCTTAGAAAATATCCATTCAGGCAAATTGATATCTGCACCATTTAACCTGTTTGAGAAAATGGTAAAGAGAGGAAAAAACATTTATCATGATTAAAATAATAAAAAGATTATCGCATGTTGAGAACAGTCATTTGATTATAAACTTAGCCAGAAAAGAGAGCAAATACTTTCCCACGTGAAGCAACATTTATCTGCAAGATATCTGTGATATCCATTCAATAATACCAACATCAGTTACAGAAATTAAAGAAGGAAGAAATCTATAGACTGGAAAAAAACTCCAGCAGCCCATCATTGAAACTAATTTAGTATTTACAACTTCAAATATTGCCGAGTACATGACAATTGAGATATTTATTTGTATCACTAGTTGCATCATAAATTTTAGGAGCCTGTCAAGAAGTTGAGTGTGGTGTTTTTCTTGCATGAAACATACTCCTTTCATGTACTTTTTGTTTCCCATTGTCTTTGGGGCCAACAGTAATTTACACTCCCAAATGCAGAGACAAACATTTCTTTAAACAAGATACACAAGACTCTCATCATGAATCCAGCTAATATGAGAAAATGAAAGGTTCACGAATCAAACAAATCTCCCGTAAAAAATATATAGTGTAAGGATATTCACTTGAACAAAAACACCAGCCATTCCTGAAAGGGGCCTGTCATTTAGAGCCTTATGGGATTAAGTATCATTTCGCCTTATAGGGCAAAGATAAAAGAATCTGTGCAATAACCAAAATCTAATCCAGAACAGGGTGCAAAGTGGCAAATTATGCATGATGCAATTCCAAATCACAATCACGGATTATAAATCCACAGATTACCAACTTTGAAAAAGAAGTAAGGAACGTTCAAAGTAAAAGTAATTTGATGCTATGCACGTAGCTGAGGCAAAGTGTTTCTTTAATGCTAATCCCTTAACTCAATCTTCTACACTTACTTGTGACACACTGATTAAACTCTGGTTAAATGGAAAGCGACCAAAGTTCAAATGTTTGATGTGAGAAAAATCTTAAGACAAAATTTTACACCATTAATGTGAAGCCAAACAATCATTGATGTGGCTCAAATATCATATGCAATTTTAAGTATTAAGCATCCTCTGAGGATAGCTTCAATTGCTCCGCGAGGCACCAATTTACTAAAATTTGTTCATAAAAGAAAAATCAGCACAAAAGTTGATGCATATACTTAAATCCTGAGTATACTATTTTGTCTATTTTAGGTATCCCAAAAGCATGAAAGAAAGAATAGACTACATACGAATTGGCTAGCCTCTGGATTTTCTCCTCCATATCCTTGTGTGAAAATTGTGACTTTATGATAACACTGTTTGGGTCCTCCAGATTCTCAAATGCCACTCGGTCCACCTCCAGACTGTCAGAATCATAGCCCCTGTCAATGAAACGCTTGCGGCTTCCATTCAAATTGACATTTAACAGACCATTTCTATTTATCAAACTTCCATTCTCAGTGTGTCTTCTTATAAGCCCTCTATCCTCAACTTTTTGTGTAACTACAATTTTATCTCCATCAGTGGTTCTACTCTGTGTGTTGTAATCCCTTTGTCTGCTACCAACAACCTTCTCTCCCAACATCTTTGAAGAATATAAATCATGAGTAACTCCCCTCTTTATGACACTCCCACGGTTACCATTCAAACTAGACCTAACTATGTTCTTGCTCATCCTTCCACTTTTGTTAATCTCACTGTAATCATCAGATTCTGATTCTAAACTATAACTCTGGTTTTTCAATGACCCATTTTTCTGCTTTGCCTTTACATCAAGGTTGTTTTCTTTCCCATCATTTTCACCTCTAGATCCTTTACTGGGTGTTCTTCTGACCTTACCGCTACTTCTGGCGGAACCTTCCTTGACACCTTCAAGCCCATCTTTTCTCTCAATTTTCACTCTTGCGCTGTTAAATTTTGTAGTGTTATCACCCTTTTCCGTCGTCTTCTGTTTTCTAGGAGTGGCAGTGCGCTTATTGCCTCTCGCAGTTCTGGCAGATTCCATAGCCTTCAAATATTCGTCAAAGGAAGGCTTAAATTCTGAGTCTTTCGGAAGAAGCGCATCACTAATCAACCCAGCATTCAGTGAAGCAGTAACTGCTCCGAAGTTCAGCTTCCGAGTGTGGGAAACTCGAATCTTCCCCGTAAACCTCGCATTCAAAGCATTCCCAAAAAAGGGTCTCAAAGAAATAGGAACCGTATAAGAAGATAACGAGTTGGCACCAAAATGCAAAACCGAAGCAGAATTCCCATGAATTTCAAGTCCAGTAACTCCCATCTCAAACATAGGAACAATACAACGTTAAGGACTTACAAAAGACTGAGTCATATGTAGCTACTTTCTTCCCCGAACTCACTTGACTCAGTCACACTGGAAAACCAGGATGTTCTGCCTCTCTCAAAGCTATGTAAATTAGGGACTTTTTTTTTTTTTTTTCGATAATGTTATTATTAAACAATCTGTTTCTGTAATAAGGGGAAAATAATTAAGGAAAATGATAAGTTTACACTCTAATCAAATAAACATTCATCCTATAATTTAACTATAATAATATAATATTGATAAAATCTTTTAAATTTATATATTTATTGTTATTATTATTATAAAGAATTGTAGATATATATATATATATATATATATATATATATATATATATATAAAACAGAATTTTAAAAGGGACTAACATATAAATAAAAATTAAGTATTATATAAATTTATATATTATTTTTTACTTTAAAAAATTATTAAAAGATATTTCATTTATTTTTTTAATTTTTTATCTTATTTCTTCTTAAAATTTAAAAAAGAAATTAGACACTAAAAAAAATTATAATTTTTATATTATAAGATAAAAGAATATAAATAAAATTGAAGTTGTGACTAGTACTAAAAATAAAATATAAAAAAAATAATATGAACGTATGATAGAAAAATTAAAAATAAAAATGTATGATAGAAAAAATAAAAATAAAAATATAAAAGTAGAACGAAAAAAAATAAAAAAAATAAGTAACAAAATACAAGAATAAATATAATATTTATTCTAAATAAAAATTAAGAGAAAAAAATATAAAAAAAATAATTTTTATTTTATTTAAAAAATATATTATTATTAATTATATATATAATATTTGCGGGTGGGGGCGTGGCAGTGCTGGCGCCTGCCTCTAGATGTAGGAATAAATAACAAACTTTCATCCTATAACCCAATTTTAATAATATAATATTGATAAAATCTTCTAAATTTATATAATATTGTTCAATAATTAACATATCATAAAAGTAATTTTATTTTACATCTAGTATTTTGTTTCGTTTTACTATACACATCTTCTTAAAAGAAAAAAATTATTTTAATATAATTCTTAATATAACTCTAAATATTTTAATATAATTTTTATATCTCCCATTATAATTTAATTTTGACAGATAAAACATATTTTATAAGAGCATAACAAAGATACATGGTCAAAAAACATATATAAAACAGACTCTTCCTCGGTATATATTTTTTTAATTTATACTTTTTATTTTTAAAATTCCTTTCTTCAAACAATTTTTCTACTATATCAGAAATACCAACTATTTAAATTGAAAATTAAATCTTTTTTTTCTATTATATACTTCATGTTTTTTTATTCCTCCATTTTTAAGTTTATTTTTCTTAAACGTTTTAACATATTTTAACATTTTAGGTGTTTGTAAAATTTGATTGTATGGATAATGTGATTTAATTTAATCTGTTTATCGTTCGTTATATCAAGTTACATTTGTTAATCATCCAGTAACATAAATGCAGTATTTTGCGATAACTTCGACCTTATTTATTTCAACCTCTGAAAGATAACTTATTTTTGTTTAATGTTACTTTATTATAATAAAAAAAATAATAACACACAAACGCGATAATTAATGTCTTTCTCTATATGTTTTATAATGATTGGTTTAAAATATATTAATAAATAATAATTTGTAACTTAAAATTAGTTTAAACTAATAGTGGAAATACAAATTCATTATTGCAGAGATTAAATTTGTTTTAAAGATTTAAAGTGAGAAGTAAGGATTAAAATAAAAATATTTTATGGTAAGAATTCCTTTAAAAATATTCGTGTGTATAATTCATATTAAAGAAACTAGACAAAAGATAATAAATTTTAGTATATATATATATATATATATATATATATATATATATTTAAATTAATTTTTGTGTATTAAATTTTGTTGTTACCTGGATTAAGAGGGTGTTTGAGTTTTGTTTACTGTTTAGGTGTCTAAACGAAGGGGAAAAGATCTGCAGAAGATTATTTGATACTTTAAGTCAGGATGTGAATAGATGAAATAGTAGAATAAATAATTAGGGAAAGAGATACATAACCTTTTATAGAACAGTATCTCGGATGTTTCGTATAATTCGAACGGTTACAGATATTTACCCGAATATCTCTAATATTTTGAATCTGTCAAATTGTTTAAAATATTGGTCTTGTTATCTCAAACATTCTTGTTGTGTTCCTATTTTCAGAGTCTTTGGACCAGGTATATATATATATATATATATATATATATATATATATATATATATATATATATATATATATATATATATATATATATATATATCAGTCCCCCTAACTTGAACCCTAAGTAAATGAAGGTATAGACATTATCTTTGTGAGAATTACCAAATTAAGGCAAGACTCGTCATATTTACTTTTGAGCATCTGGTAGCGCATTTAATGTGGATAACTTTTGTAATCATTTGTGTCGTCAAAAGGTATACAAAGTGTTTTCGTCCAATTTTTTCGGGTTTATATCATTCATTTGTCTTTCTCCTCTTTTTACATTCTGTTGAGATAAGAAAACTCTCATTCTTGTCCTCTATAATCTTGGCAGCCGTTGTCGCTTAGAACTCACAGCTACTAAACTATTTTTTCTCCTTCCTTTTAAGTAATGTCTACCCCTTCTTCAATGGGTTATTCTCAGCGCGGGTATAGTCTCATCTCTCATGATGTGTGTTCGATTGATGATACCGGTTCTAAGGGTTCCCCACGTGCCTTGCTTCGTTAGAAAGGGTCATCATAGTTGCTCTGATGGCTAAAAGACATAAGAGTAGGACATCAAAAAATGGGGAGTTAAAGGGGTCGAGTAATGGTGTTAAGCTTAGATGTAAGGATAAGTTTTCTTTGTCCTTGACTATGAGTTTTATTGGGTGCTTAACGAGGTGCACCATAATGCCTCTGATTTCACCTCTGCCTCATTCATTGAGGAATTTTGCAAGTCTTTTAATGTTAGTGAACCTGCTTATACTCTTCTCACGATGCTCGACCCTTACTCGTATGGTGATATGGTGTACATGAAGCCTCATGTTGATGAGGAGGATTTTATGTTTGTTTAGAGAGTCTAAGAAGAGATTTTACTTCCTTTTCCCAATTTCGAGTGTGATATGCTTACCATGCTTTGAGTGGCTCCGAGTCAACTACTGTTAGGATCAGAGTACCAGCACAAATACACACAACTAAAATAGAGACGAGAAAATAACCCTGACAATAGGCAAAAATGAAAATTTTATAATGACCACTCTTTCCTTTTACAATTGGAAATTACCAATACTAGGAAAGTAAAAGAGAAAGAAAGAAATATTTGGGATGTTTGAAATAAGGGGGGAGGGGCTCCTTTTATAGGAAGGAGGAGAGCCCCCAATTGAAGTTCCCACGGATGTGGGACTTCTTTCTTCACAATCTCCCACTTGAAGATTTTGATGAAATTAATCAAATCTTCACACTATGTCTTCTTCTCTCACATCCATGTTGCTTATGCTTCCGATAGGCCATAGAGGATCGACTCCATATAAACTTGTCGGCGATTAACAGGCTTTGTCATTACATCTGCTAGGTTCTTCTCGAGTGTGGATCTTACGTAAATCTACACTTCCTTCTTCTACTACTTCTCGAACAAAATGATATCTTATTCCTATGTGTTTTGTCCTCGAATGAAAGGTTGGATTCCTTGCAATGTGTAAGACACTTTGACTATCACGAGTACACAACAATTTGTTGTTGCTTGTGACCAAGTTCCCCATTATTCTTTTAATCCGGATAGCTTCTTTACATGCTTGGGTGACGACCATGTATTCGACTTCAGTAGTAGACAGAGCTACCACATCTTGTAACTTGGATAACCAACTTACGCCCCTCCATTGATGGTAAACACATAACCGGTAGTAGACTTCCTTTTATCCAGATCACTGCAAAATCCGAATCTACATAGCCTCCGACAACTGCTTCGATCCTCCATAACATAATGCAACATTTGAGGTTCCTTTTATATACCTAAGGACCCTCTTCACATTTTGCCAATGTTCTCCACCAGGATTCCCCATGAATCTACTAACCACTCCCACTGCTTGTGCAATGTCAGGTCTTGTACAAATCATGGCATACATAAGACTTCCCATTCTGCGATGCATACGGTACTCGAGACATTTCAATCCTCTCAGCTTCACTTGCTAGGACTCATACTTGAAGATAACTTACGGTTGACGGGAAGTGGGGTAGAAATTGGCTTGCAATCTTGCATGTTGAAGCGCCACAAGATCTTAAGTAAATAATTCTTTTGAGAAAGCCAAATCTTCCTATCTTTTACTGTCTCGGTGAATTTGCATCCCTAAAATCTTGTTTGCTTGGTCCCAAGTCCTTCATATCAAACTCCCTAGCCAATTGTGCCTTCAATTCTTGGATTCGAGCTTTGTTAGGGCCTACCACCAACATGTCATCCACATACAACAACAATATGATGAAATCATTTTCTTCAAACCTATTGTGGTAAGTACTAATGGTCAGAACTTAGTACTGTAGTATCAGAGGCTAATAATGAAGGAATCAAATCTCTTATACCAACACCTTGGCGCCTGCTTTAGGCAGGTATAGAGATTTGTTCAACACTGCAAACCAAGTTTTCTTGCTCTTTGAAGCCTTCTGGTTGGAGCATATATATTTCCTCTTCAAGTTCTCCATGAAGAAAAGCGGTTTTACATCCAATTGTTCAAGATGTAAATCAAATGCGGCACACATCGCCGAGGACAATTCGATTGTTGTCAATCTAACAACTGGTGAGAATATCTCGTTGAAATCAATGCCTTCTTTACGAGCATATCCTTTTACCACCGAGTCTAGCACGATATCTTTCTACTTGATCATTGACATCTCTCTTGATCTTATAGACCCATTTGCAACCAATGGCTCTGCGACCTTTTGGAAGTTCCACAAGATGCCATGTCTTGTTTTTATGAAGAGCTTCAATTTCTTCTTCCATAGCGACCATCCATAGAGGAGCTTCGAACCACTCACGGCCTCTTGAAAAGTTGAAGGTTCTCCTTCTTCACTTAGGAGACAATACGCATCATGACTTGCCATCACATATTGTGAATGCCAAGATGGTCCGACTCTTTCTCTTGTTGATCGTCGGAGTTCTCCTTCTTCCACCTCATTTGGCTCATGTTCTTCATGCTCCTCCTCGACTCGGAGGAATGTTCGAAGTCTTCTTCTCTATCTGTACTATAGTCTTGTCCTTTTCAGAGTTGTCATTTATCTGCTTGCTTTGCAGTTCATTTTACGCAAAGACGACATCTCTGCTAACAATAACTTTGTGGGCGGTGGGATCCCATAGCGATACCCCTTCACATTGTCGGCATATCCCAAGAAGATGCATTTCCTGGATTTTGGATCCAACTTCGTCCTTTCTTGGGTGTTGTACATCACGTACGCGGGACAACCGAACACATGTAAGGAAGAATAATCGGTTGATTTTCCACTCCACATTTCCATAGGAGTTTTCAACCCAATTCTTTGTTGATGGAGACCGATTTATCAAGTAACGAGGCGGTATTCACGGCTTACGCCGAGAAAGACTTTGTTATGCACTGCGGTTTGCAACATAGCTCCGGTTCTCTCTAGAAGAGTTCTATTCATTCGCTCTGCTACACCATTCTGCGAGGCGTGTGTGGAGCAGAAAATTGTCTCACAATTCCTTCTTGCTTGCGAGAATGCTAGAAAATCTCCATCTACATATTCTCCTCCATTGTACGTCCTCAAACACTTGATTCTCCTTCGGTCTCAAGTTCTACTTGTGCTTTGAAGTCTTTGAAGCTGCGCAAATACTTCGGACTTCTTCTTGATAGGGTATACCCATAATCTCCTCGAGTAGTCATCGATGAACGACACAAAATATTTTGCTCCTCCGAGAGATAATTCGGTGATTCCCGGACATCGGAATGGATCAAGTCCAAAGTTTGTTTACTCCTTGTGGTGGTTCTTGCAAACTTCAACCTGTGTTGTTTGCTTGTCACACAATGCTCACGGAAGGGTAAATCGACCTTCTTGAGCCACGGTATGAGATCACGTTCGCAAGAATCTGCGAGACCTCGCTCGACATATGTCCAAGTCTACGGTGCCATGTTATCGCCGCTTCTTCTTGGCTTGTCGACGCAGTTGTTGCATGATTTTCTTGCAAGGTGTCTCCCATAAGTACATACAAGTTTGCCATGATTTTCTCTGCTTTCATGACAACTATGTTTCCCCTCACTGCCTTTAAGATTCCTCCTTCAACATGGATCTTGCAGCCGAGGTCATCCAATTGCCCTATAGACAATATATTTTTCTTCAAGTCCTTCACATGTCGTACTTCTTGGATTGTGCGAATAGTACCGTCATACATTTTTAATTTGACAGTACCAACTCCAGCAATCTCCAATGCATGGTCATTTCCCATGAACACGGATCCACCTGAGATAGGCTTGTAGGTTTGAAACCAATCTCGGTGTGGGGTCATGTGCCAAGTTGCACCTGAATCCATTATCCACTTGTCATGAAATTCGTTTCCGCCATTAGAGCTGATTGCTGCTTCGCTTACCAGAATTACTCCTTCCTCTGAAGTACTCGCAACGCAACCCTGTGAGGTTGATTCTTCATTCTTCCTCTTCCAACACTCTTTCTTCGTGTGCCCTTTCTTGCCACAGTAGTAGCATTTAAATTTGAAAGTCTTCTTGTTTTGAGAGCTCGATCTGCCATGATCTTGACTCCCACTTGAGCCACGTTCCGTTGATCTTCCTCTCATCATCGTCAAAACTTCTGCTTGTTTAGAACTTTCTACCTTATTCATTCGCCTGGATTCTTCTTCTAGAATAGCTCCGGCAACATCGTCAAAGTGTAGTTGTCCTTCAATATTATTATTTGTAATGTTGATGATGAGTTGATCATAAGAGTCACGGCAAGCTCCGAAGTAAAAGCTCTGCACGCTCATTCTCAATTATGTTGAAATTTCTCTGCTGCTAATTGGGCAAACAAGGTGTTCAGTTGGTTGATGTGGTCCAGTCACCGATGTGGACTCACTCATCCGAAGAGTATAGAGTTTCCTCTTCAGGAATATCCTTGTGTGAAGTGACTTCACCTCATATAATTTAATGAGGGCATCCCAAATCTCCTTTGAAGAATCTTTCTCGCAACACTTGGATAGAACTGAGTCTGCCATTGCCAAGTGTAAATTTGCAATAGCGTTGCTGTCAATTTTCTTCCAATCTTTATCCGCCATTTCTGCAGGTTTTCCCTCGATTGCTTCTGCGCAATTGTCCTTTCTCAAGATTGCCTTCATCTTCAATTTCCACAACGAGAAATTGTTCCAGTTGAACTTCTCTATCTCGTACTTTGCTTGCCATGGTTGTGTTTCCACTTATGCAACTTTCACTTATGAATAGTATTGTCTACTGGAACAATAGTAGTAGGCACGTGAACCGAGTACACCAAGTAGGTTCCCAGGAAAGAGAGGTGGGTCACTAATGGACACGCTTAAGTACCAAGTCTTTCCTAGCCAGAACTTTCCTCAATAGTACTTTCACACTACCACACCTTTTCCAGTAACAACTCCTTTCTGATGTGGAAGATCAGATTAAACTGCAACCACAGAGCATACTCAGAATTTTACCAACACTATTCTAGTGACTAGCGCAACGGGACTCGAATGCAGCTCTGATACCACTATTAGGATCAGAGTACCAGCACAAATACACACAACTAAAATAGAGACGAGAAAATAACCCTGACAATAGGCAAAAATGAAAATTTTATAATGACCACTCTTTCCTTTTACAATTGGAAATTACCAATACTAGGAAAGTAAAAGAGAAAGAAAGAAATATTTGGGATGTTTGAAATAAGGGGGGAGGGGCTCCTTTTATAGGAAGGAGGAGAGCCCCCAATTGAAGTTCCCACGGATGTGGGACTTCTTTCTTCACAACTACATTCCAACAATTGAGTTTTTTTGAAAGCCTTTCACATCTTGTGCTTCTTTCTTCGCATAAAAGCGTAATTGAATGTCTTTATGTATTTATACAAACTAAAGTATGACTCAGAGATCGGTTGGGTTTCCCTAAATGGGTCTCAACATGACTTATTGTTTTCTCTATATACTCAGTCTTTTACAAGTTTCAAGACTTATTTCTTCTGGGTTATGTGTAACCCTGATGATCAATCAAAATCCTTATTCTATTTTCCGAATAATTCTTTGCATTTCTCGTTCTAATGAACCACACCTGTAAAGTCAAGTCCCGAGCTGACCACTTTTTGTATTCTGAGAAAAAATTGATTATTTGTACTCTTACTGATTTACCATGTCCAATTGGTCATATGGATTTACTATTCATTCCCTATGTTGAGGACCAAGTAGCCCGTTTTGTAAGTAAGGACTATTCAGTGTGATTTTCAATTGAGTCTTGTTGTTTTGCATGACTTGTAATTGTGTTTATCTCTCATTATGGTTGTTCTTCCTTTGTATAAAAACAATGGAGTTCTTTTGACTATAAGAAGGTTCGTGCCAAACTCCACGTTGCTCCTCTAGATATGGCTGCCAAGTTAAAGGGCATTGAGGGTAAAGGTTGGCGCTGCTACTGTTCCTTGCTCAAAAGTGCCCCTATTGTTAATGTCTCTGACGAATCTGAGGGTGGCCAAGCTCGGGGGTCTGCTCCTATAAAGGTTCATGCACCCCTTTCCATTATCCCTCTCACACCGGCCTCGATTCCTTCGATGAGGGATTCTTTGTCTTTACAAAGGGATGATCCTCTTAACTAGGTTAATCACTATCACGTGTCAATGAGTGCTCGCAAGGTGAATTCATTGTGGCACATAAAGCTTGTTATTAGTAATGTTAAGATGGGTACTGAGTTCCCTACTGCTTTTGACCAAAATTTGTTAAAGGTCGTTGGGCCACATGGATGCTTAGATTCAATCGAGGTAATGGTAGTGAGAATCATGGAATATGCCATTAGTGAAAAGGGTTGGTGAATGACACCTACGAATGAGGAACCAAAGTTGCCCAACTCGAGCAACAAAAGGTGTTTTTAACAAAATAAATTGAATGATCATGCGAGTGTGTTGTCCGGAAAAGTAAACAAAATGTGGAACTTGTTGATTTTGTATTGAACACATAGTGAATCTTACAGGAGATTGAAGACCACATAAAATGCTAATGGGAGGAGGCCAACTTGGAGAAAGTACAACTGAAGATGAAGTTAACCACGAGTGAGAAGAACAAAGAGGAAGTAGGGGCGGGATTAGAGTTGGACTTATGTACAGTGGGTAGACCTTCTTCATTAATTTTGAATCATCAAATAATATATTATTAATAAATAAATATAAATAATATATTATTAATAAATAATAAATAAATATAAAAGGGTAAAAGAAGATGAAAGGGTGAAAGAATAAAATTATAAATATATAAGTAAATATATTAAATGATTATTAAGTTTAGGGAGACCAAAATTATAAATTAGATGAGAGTTACAAAATTAAGGGAAGGGTTGAGAGAATAAAATTATAAATATATAAGTAAATATATTAAATGATCATTAAGTTTGGGGGCACAAAATCAAATCCAATCTCGGGAATTCCATAAAAGAGTTTTAGTATGGAGGAAGGTAAGAGAAACCCAATGAAATAAAATACAAAGAAAAATTGATACTTAATTGGGATGGACCATTTAGAATTTTTGAATCCTTGAATAATGATGCATACAAGCTAGAGCACTTATCAAGTTTCCTATGGAATTATACCTCCTCGTTGCTCTTGCCTTAACTGTTGTTGCTTTTATTTTGGCTATCTCTCATACCTCATGAATTAAATCAAGTTTGGCGTGAATCTTTTCTTCATTGTGTGCTTCATCAAATATTTGTCTTTTCCAAGACTCTTCTTCGACCTCAACATGTATTATGAGCTACCATATGTACATCGAAAGAGTGTTTCTTGTTGGATGATTGGGGAGTGAAGTGGTAACCCCATAATATTCTGGGTATTTTCTTGGTCCATAGCCCATTTGCTTGTTTAATATTTTTCTTGAATTCTTGTTGTCCAACCTTCATGGTGTTGCCTAGCTTGGACAATATGTCAGCTTGTTCATTATGTTCTTTGAGAATGTGGTTGATCTCTGTCTTTTCGAAAATGTGATAATGTTTTTGCATGATGAGTTTTTAGTATGAAAATCTCCCAAGATTTGTTCAAGGATGAGCTTCGAGTCGCTTTAACAACGTAAATACTCAACTCCCATTTCTTTAACGAGTCTTAATCTGGCAATAGGACTTTGTACTCGGCCTGATTGTTAGAAGTTAAGAATTCAAATCATAGGACTTGTTCCAATACAATATTGTTGGGTACTTTGAGTGATATCTCAACTCCGCTTCCTTTTTTGTTTGATCAGTTGTCCACACTAAGGGTCCATCATTCGTATCTTTCACTGAGTTGAGGTAATTCTACTAGAATTTGCTAATAATTATGCTTTCTTCAGTCCTCGACTTTCAAATCGAATATCAAACTCAAAGAGTTTTACTAACCATGTTATCATTTACCTCGCCATTTCAAGTTTTTTGAGTACTTGTTTAATTAGGTATTTGGTCTTGACTGCAACACTAAAGCTTTGAAAATATGGTTGCAACCTCCTTGTCAAGTTTACCAACCGCAATACCAATTTTTTTACAGTGGAATATCATCATTCTCTTTTTGTAAAATTTGGTTGGTGAAGTATACCAGGGTTTGTTGTTTACTGTTGCAATATATAAGCACATGATTGATTTTGTGATTATCTTTTAAAGAAAAAGGGTGAAACTCAGCGGCAAGCTTATCAGGGATGGCAATGATGCAATATCCTTTTTGATGGCTTGGAACATGGTTTCATATTTTTCTATCCACTCGAATTTTTTGGAGTTCCTCAATAGCTTGAAAAAAGGTTTAACTTTCTCGACTAGCTTTGGTCAGAATTCAGCTAGTGTTACGAGTTTTCCGTTTAGTCGTTGTACATCCTTTACGTTCCAAGGACTTTGCATGTTGAGTATAGCATTACACTTGTCTAGATTTCCTTCAATACCACGTTGAGTGATCATGAATCCAAGGAACTTGCCTCCTCCCACACTAAATACACATTTCTTCGGGTTGAGACGCATTTTGTATCTTCAAATCTTGTCAAAAACTCTTTGTAGACAACTGGGGTGATCGACTTGATATTTTGACTTGACTATCATGTCATCAACATAAACTTCAACGATGTCTTTGATAAGTTTTTTGAATATCTAATCCACTAGTAGTTGATAGGTGGCTCCAAGATTTTTTAGTCCAAAAGGCATCGCTTTGTAGCAGTAGTTTGCACTTTTCATGCTGAAAGTCACTTTTTCTTCATCTAGTGGGTACATTCATATTTAGTTATATCTCGAGTAGCCATCCGAGAAACTTAGAATGTTTTTGTCAGATGCGTTGTTAACTAGGCGATCAATGCTTGACAATCGATATGAGTCATTTGGACAGACTTTATTTAGATTTGTATAGTTGGTACACATTCTCCATTTCCCATTTGCTTTTTTTTACCAAAACTGCATTGGCTAACCATGTAGTGTATGGTATCTCTAAGATGAAGTTGGCTTGCAAAAGCTTGTCGACTTCTTGATCCACAACTCATCTTGTCTCGTCTCTTAACTTATTGTTTCATTGAGTTATAGGTCTTACTTTAGGTAAGATTAATAATTTATGCAAGATTATGTTAAGATCAATACCTGACATGTTAATTGCACACCATGCAAACAAGTTGGCATTTCTAAGCAAAACCTCTTCAATTTGTTTGTGAATAGTTGTCTCATTTGTGTAATCAATGTGTGTGACTGATGTGTCCTTCTCGAGTTTGAAGTTTGATATATCATTGACAAAGGTAGGTCGATTTCCATATGCTTTTATTCAAGGTTTAAGGTCGACTCGTTCTATGTTATGTACTTGTGCATTACCTTTGAACTATTACAATGCTGAGTATGGTTCGATCTTGAGACTTTTAGAGTAACATGCTTGGTAGGGATGGTAGACCAACCCGTTAGTACGCTTAAAAAATGGTAGGACGGGTTGGTAGTTTTAGCCCGTTAACCTGTTTTAGTCAGTTCCACCTAACCCGTCCACTCGATGAGCTAAGGGGGCGGGTTGACCCATTGTTCCGCTTTAAAAAAATATTTATATATTAAAATTTAAAATATTATATTTTTGTGTGTTATATTATTAAAATATGTAAATATATTATAATTTAAATTATAAAATTTAATTAATTAAATTTAAATTTATTTATTATAATTAGTTATTTTTACACATAAATATAATATTTTTTCAATTTATATAATAAAAATATTAATTAATAAATAAAAACTTAAAAATTATTCATATAATTATATATATATATATATATATATATATATTATATATAAATAAACTATTGGTGGGTTAGTGGCTAGCCCATCTTTTGACAGGGTGGGCCGGGGTCTATGACCCATTGTGACTATGTGGACCAAAAGTTGGACAGGTCAAAATAGGACAAACTTACTCATTTTGTCATCTCTAATACTTGAAACTATTAACTATCGACGAGAACTTCATCATCATGTGGGGGTTAATACAATTACCCCTAACTGATTCAATGTTCTGTTGGTAAAATTTAGGTCATGTATATATATGATACATAATTTAAATGTGTTAGGGCTATTATTTATTAAACCAAATAATAAAGTGATCTGACTAAATTAAAGTTTTGGCTAAAGACATATGTCATGAAAATAAAATTATGTAGAGACCATAGAGTAATTTCTAATTTGATGAGGGGTCAAATTAGAAATACTAAAACTTAATTAATTAACCTAATTCTGGTTATTTAAGGGGTCATGGTCCCCTTTTGGGAGCACACACACAAAAAGTAAGTCTCAGTTCCTGTTCCTTTCTTTTTATCCCCATCAAGAGAGAAAATCAAGAGGGAAATACAAGTGCTCTTCAGGTGGAAGACCATAAGATCAATATAGTGCTCTACAAAGACATCGTCATTATGGCTAATTCAGGTACGCTCTCACATTCAGTTTACAACATATTTATCAGTGTGAGATTACGTTTATGTTTGATCGTTAGAATCAAAATCAGAATTATTATTATTATTAATTTTCCAACATGTTCATCTTCCAACTATCAAGTTGTATGAGGTGTCTATTTCCACCAATATGAATCGCATCGAGATAATGCGTTAGATTGAGATTCCAAAGGTAGTCAGTAGGTCTATGTATCATTGATTGTGAACTCATTCCCTTGCGAAATCGAGCAAAGGGTTTAAATATGGTCGTATTAGGCCATGTGACATTCCTAAATTTAAGGAATGTTGATCAATATAACACATAAGTTGATCTCCCTTAATCAAATAACGCTTCCCTGACTTCACAAGTAGTTATTGTGACTATGATGATTACAGGGTTATATTAGGTTATATCATACTTTTTGTAATTCTCGTTGCAATGATGATGCTAGAGAAATTTGTTATTGAAGGATCGATGTCTCTTACATGCCGAACTTGTTGGTCCTGCTTTAGCAATGCCCACGATCGTGTTTAGTATTCTCCGTGTTCTTGGGGTTGTTTCTAGAGGAGATTGAGTTGTGAGCTGGTAATGATTGTCATCTTGTTGATAATATCCTTGCCCCCGACAATCACGATATCTACGTCATTAACCTTGATAGCCTCCATGACCTCTTGTGTCGTGTGTTCGAATATATTGAGATAATTTTAAACATGACAACGAGGCAGGATGAGGGGCAAGGAGGTAAAATCCAATTTATTTAACCATCCTCATTCCCGCCCCTGCCCTGATCCCTCGTCAGGATTAAAAATTTAGTTTCCATTGGGTTTCAGGTTTTCCGCCTTTGACCCATCTCGTTATATGGTATCTAAAAAAAAGTAATTATATAAAAATTATAATAAATTAATTTTAATATTATTCTTTTTTTATGTTTTATTTCTTATAAAAAATAAATATAATTTTATAACTTTTATATTATTGATGATGACTGAGTGTATATTTTAATTTATTATATTCATATTAAAATATTTATGTATAAAAAAATATTTGATCATTCTTTTTTCTTTCTTTATAAACTATCAATCCTTTAAAGCTATTAATCCTTGAAAAAAAAAACAAAAAAAAGTTTCAACTAATGATCCTTTAAAATAATTATGAAATACATATTTAAAAACATCGATAAATAAGTAAACAAAATTTCTCATAAAAATAAGATAAGAAAAATGCATAACCGTGCATATAATTGTACGTGCAAATAAGAAAACTACAATCTACTAATAATTAGGAGAACGATAAAATAAATTGTATTATTGAGAAGAGAAATAAAATTTTGAAAAAACAATAATAATATTCTTTAAATAAGTAAAATAATACCTTCATCACCAAAATTCATCTCATTGAATAAAGTAGTATAGTCATCAACTAATTAAGAATTCATACCACCTAAAAATAATACATGTTAAAATTTAAAATAACAATCATTGAATATATATTAAAGAGGTATATAAAATATTATCACTATTTTCAATACTTCGTAACCAACTTCTAGCACACATCAACGCCTCTTAATATTTGACCACTAGTACTAAATGTTGATTCAAAAGCTAGAGTACAAATAAGAATAGCTAATACATCTTTAACAATCGCCTGAAGTGTTGGTCATTTGACTTCATTCAACTTTCACCACGTTAGAATATTAAAATTAATTTTTCTTAGTAAAACCTCTTCTTATAAATAAGGTGTAACTCTATTTTAACATATGTACTTCTTGCCTTTTTTTTTTCTCAAAATATATTTGTCATATTTAATTAATGTTTTACCAACAACATTAGTATCATCCTTTATTAGATATTCGTCAACCGTGTCTTTGTTTGTTTGTTTTTTTTTATACTTAGAAGTCACGTCATAACATAATTGACGATCCTAACTTGCGAAAATGATTCATGACCATCCAATTTTATAATAACATTCAAGTAAATTCATTTTGTAACTAAGGTCCAAAACAATAATAACTCCCATAATAGCATGAATCATATTCAAATACTTATCAAATTTGAACAACATTTTCTCAAACAATTTTTTAATTAATTTCATTGGGAGATGCAATTCTCTGACTTAATGTCAATTTAATCTGACATATATTGCGAAAATACA